CTGATCCCGGATTCCTCCCCCTGATCCCGGATTTTCCGTTCCGCAGGGATGAGCAGGTGCTCCTGGTGAATCCGGGCCTCGGGGACCGGCTGCTGGTGGCGGCCACGGATCAGCTCCTGGATTCCTGGGAAGCTCCGGAGGAGGAGCGGATCCAGCCGGTGCGCTGGATCCCGGCCGGCCCCGAGGAGCGCGGGAAGGGGATCCGGCTGCTGGTGCAGCACGACAAGGTGGGATCGGCGTTCCCGGGATCCGGCTGGGATCGGCATTCCCGGGATCTGGATGGGATTGGCGTTCTCGGGATCCGGCTGGGATCAGCGATCCTGGGATCTGGGTGGGTTTGGTGATCCCAGGATCTGTGTGGGATCGGCATTCCCAGGATCCCATTCCCATTCCTAATCCCGATCCCAGTCCTAATCGCGATCCCGTTCCCATTCCCGTTCCCAGCCGGTGACGCAGGTGACGTGGCACGGCCGGGGTGATTACTGGGCCTCGGTGGTGATCCATAGGGTCGGGATTTCGGGATCCCATTCCCAATCCTGATCCCAATCCCGTCCCCAGCCGGTGACGCAGGTGACGTGGCACGGCCGGGGCAATTCCCGGGCCTCGGTGGTGATCCATAGGGTCGGGATTTCGGGATCTCACCCAGATCCCGATCCCAATCCCATTCCAATCCCATTCCCATTCCCGATAAGTGGTGATCCATAGGGTTGGGATTTCGGGATCCCAATCCCGATCCCATTCCCAATCCCGATCCCATTCCCAATCCCGATCCCGTTCCCATTCCCATTCCCGTTCCCATTCCCGTTCCCATTCCCGTTCCCAGCCGGTGACGCAGGTGACGTGGCACGGCCGGGGCGATTCCCGGGCCTCGGTGGTGATCCATAGGGTCGGGATTTTGGGATCTCACTTGGATCCCGTTCCCGTTCCTATCCTGAGGAGCTCTGGGATGATCCAGAGGATCAGGATCTCAGGATCTCACCTGGATCCCATTCCCATTCCCATTCCTAATCCCAATCCCGATCCCATTCCCGTTCCCAGCCGGTGACGCAGGTGACGTGGCACGGCCGGGGCGATTCCCGGGCCTCGGTGGTGATCCGTAGGGTCAGGATTTCGGGATCCCATTCCCGTTCCCATTCCCATTCCCGTTCCCGTTCCCAGCCGGTGACGCAGGTGACGTGGCACGGCCGGGGCAATTACTGGGCCTCGGTGGTGATCCATAGGGTCGGGATTTCGGGATCTCACCCGGATCCCATTCCCATTCCCAATCCCGTTCCCAGCCGGTGACACAGGTGACGTGGCACGGCCGGGGCGATTACTGGGCCTTGCTGGTGATCCATAGGGTCGGGATTTCGGGATCCCATTCCCATTCCATAGGTGATGATCCATAGGGTTGGGATTTCAGGATCCCATTCCCAATCCCGATCCCGTTCCCAGCCGGTGACGCAGGTGACGTGGCACGGCCGGGGCGATTCCCGGGCCTCGGTGGTGATCCATAGGGTCGGGATTTCGGGATCCCATTCCCAATCCCGATCCCATTCCCAATCCCAATCCCGATCCTGATCCCATTCCCGTTCCCAGCCGGTGACACAGGTGACGTGGCACGGCCGGGGCGATTACTGGGCCTCGGTGGTGATCCATAGGGTCGGGATTTCGGGATCTCACCCGGATCCCATTCCCAATCCCGATCCCATTCCCATTCCCAATCCCATTCCCGTCCCCAGCCGGTGACACAGGTGACGTGGCACGGCCGGGGCGATTACTGGGCCTCGGTGGTGATCCATAGGGTTGGGATTTCGGGATCCCATTCCCATTCCATAGGTGGTGATCCATAGGGTCGGGATTTCGGGATCTCACCCGGATCCTGATCCCAATCCCGTTCCCAGCCGGTGACACAGGTGACGTGGCACGGCCGGGGCGATTCCCGGGCCTCGGTGGTGATCCATAGGGTTGGGATTTCGGGATCCCATTCCCAATCCCAATCCCATTCTCTATCCCGATCCCGATCCCATTCCCAGCCGGTGACACAGGTGACGTGGCACGGCCGGGGCGATTCCCGGGCCTCGGTGGTGATCCAAAGGGTCGGGATTTCGGGATCCCATTCCCAATCCCATTCCCAATCCCGATCCCAATCCCATTCCCGTTCCCAGCCGGTGACGCAGGTGACGTGGCACGGCAAGGGCGATTACTGGGCCTCGGTGGTGATCCATAGGGTCGGGATTTCGGGATCCCATTCCCAATCCCAATCCCATTCCCGTTCCCAGCCGGTGATGCAGGTGACGTGGCACGGCCGGGGCGATTCCCGGGCCTCGGTGGTGATCCATAGGGTCGGGATTTCGGGATCTCACTTGGATCCCATTCCCAATCCCAATCCCAATCCCATTCCCGTTCCCAGCCGGTGACGCAGGTGACCTGGCACGGCCGGGGCGATTCCCAGGCCTCGGTGGTGATCCATAGGGTCGGGATTTTGGGATCCCATTCCCATTCCATAGGTGATGATCCGTAGGGTCGGGATTTCAGGATCCCATTCCCAATCCCATTCCCGATCCCATTCCCGTTCCCAGCCGGTGACGCAGGTGACGTGGCACGGCCGGGGCGATTCCTGGGCCTCGGTGGTGATCCACAGGGTCGGGATTTCGGGATCTCACCCAGATCCTGATCCCAATCCCGATCCCAATCCCAATCCCAATCCCGATCCCGTTCCCAGCCGGTGACACAGGTGACCTGGCACGGCAAGGGCGATTACTGGGCCTCGGTGGTGATCCATAGGGTCGGGAATTCGGGATCTCACTTGGATCCTGATCCCAATCCCAATCCCATTCCCGATCCCATTCCCAATCCCGTTCCCAGCCGGTGACGCAGGTGACGTGGCACGGCCGGGGCGATTCCCGGGCCTCGGTGGTGATCCATAGGGTCGGGATTTCGGGATCCCATTCCCATTCCATAGGTGGTGATCCATAGGGTCGGGATTTCGGGATCCCATTCCCAATCCCGTTCCCAGCCGGTGACACAGGTGACGTGGCACGGCCGGGGCGATTACTGGGCCTCGGTGGTGATCCATAGGGTCGGGATTTCGGGATCCCATTCCCAATCCTGATCCCATTCCCGTTCCCAGCCGGTGACACAGGTGACGTGGCACGGCCGGGGCGATTCCCAGGCCTCGGTGGTGATCCATAGGGTCGGGATTTCGGGATCCCATTCCCATTCCCGATCCCATTCCCATTCCCATTCCCATTCCCATTCCCAATCCCATTCCCGTTCCCAGCCGGTGACACAGGTGACCTGGCACGGCCGGGGCAATTCCCAGACCTCGGTGGTGATCCAGAGGGTCGGGATTTCGGGATCTCACTTGGATCCCGTTCCCGTTCCTATCCTGAGGAGCTCTGGGATGATCCAGCGGATCAGGATCACAGGATCTCACCTGGATCCCATTCCCAATCCCAATCCCGATCCCATTCCCGTTCCCAGCCGGTGACGCAGGTGACATGGCACGGCCGGGGTGATTCCTGGGCCTCGGTGGTGATCCATAGGGTCGGGATTTCAGGATCCCATTCCCGTTCCCATTCCCATTCCCATTCCCATTCCCATTCCCATTCCCGATTGGTGGTGATCCAGAGGGTTGGGATTTCGGGATCCCATTCCCATTCCCGATCCCAGCCGGTGACGCAGGTGACGTGGCACGGCCGGGGCGATTCCCGGGCCTCGGTGGTGATCCATAGGGTCGGGATTTCGGGATCCCATTCCCATTCCATAGGTGGTGATCCATAGGGTCGGGATTTCGGGATCTCACCTGGATCCTGATCCCGTTCCCGTTCCCAGCCGGTGACGCAGGTGACGTGGCACGGCCGGGGCGATTCCCGGGCCTTGGTGGTGATCCATAGGGTCAGGATTTCGGGATCTCACCCGGATCCTGATCCCAATCCCATTCCCAATCCCATTCCTGTTCCCATTCCCAATCCCATTCCCATTCCCGTTCCCAGCCGGTGACACAGGTGACCTGGCACGGCCGGGGCGATTACTGGGCCTCGGTGGTGCGGAACCCCGGCGGGCGGCAGGTGCTGATCCACCAGAGCAGCCGGCGCTGGAGCCAGAACCCGTTCCGGAAAAGCCCGGGAATGATCCAGTGCGTGCGCTTCCACCCGCTCCGGCCCTACTTCCTGGTGGCCTCCCAGCGCTCCGTGCGGATCTACAACCTCCTGCGCCAGGAGCTGACCAAGAAGCTCCAGAGCAACTGCCAGTGGATCTCCAGCATGGCCGTGCACCCCGGAGGTGCGGGATCGCCCCGGGAACGCCGGGATCCCCGCGGGCAATCCGGGTTTTTTCCTGATTCCCGGTTTTTTCCCTAGGGGACAACGTGATCTGCGGGAGCTACGACAGCAAGCTGGCCTGGTTCGACCTGGACCTGTCCACGCGGCCCTACCGGCTGCTGCGGTGAGCGCCGGCGGCGTTCCCACGCTTCCCGGTTTTCCTGGGTTGTTATCCCAGGTTTTCCTGAGTTATTATCCCGGGTTTTCCCGGGTTGTTATTCTCAATTACCCCAGGTCATTTATCCCACGTTATCCCAGGTCATCAGGTCATTATCCCAAATTATCCGGGGTTGTTATCCCACGTTTTCCTGGGTTGTTATCCCAGGTTTTCCTGGGTTGTTATCCCATGTTTTCCTGAGTTATTATCCCGGGTTTTCCTGGGTTGTTATTCTCAATTATCCCAGGTCATTTATCCCACGTTATCCCAGGTCATCGGGTCATTATCCCAAATTATCCCGAGTTCTTATCCCAGGTTTTCCTGGGTTGTTATCCCAGATTATCCCGGGCTGTTATCTGACGTTATCCCGGGTTGTTATCCCAAATTATCCTGGGTTGTTACCCCAGATTTTCCCAGGCTGTTCTCGCCTGTAATCCCGGGTTGTTATCCCACATTTTCCCTCGTTATCCCCCATAATCCTGTGCCATTATCCCAGTTTTTCCTGAGTGGTTATCCCAGTTTTTCCTGGGTCATTATCCCTGCTTTTCCTGGTGGTTATCCCATTTTTTCCCGGTGGTTATCCCGATTTTCCTGGGCTGTTCTCCCCTGTTATCCTGGGTGCTTATCCCGGTTTTCCTGGTGGTTATCCTGTTTTTCCCAGTGTTTTTCCCGGTGTTTTCCCAATGTTTTCCCGGTGTTTCCCCCGGTGTTTTTCCCAGTGGTTTTCCCGGTGTTTTCCTGGTGTTTTCTCAGGCTCTGATTCCTGTTTTTCCCAATGTTTCCCCCGGTGTTTTTCCCAGTGTTTTCCCAGACTCTGACACCCATTTTTCCTGCTGTTTTCCCGGCTCTGACTCCCATTTTTCCTGGTGTTTCCCTGGTGTTTTCCCGGTATTTTCCCAGTGTTTTTCCCAGTGTTTTCCTGGTGTTTTCCCGGCTCTGACTCCCATTTTTCCCTGGTGTTTCCCCGGTGTTTTTCCCAGTGTTTGTCTGGTGTTTTTCCCAGTGTTTTCCTGGTGTTTCCCCACTGTTTCCCCACTGTTTCCCTGGTATTTTCCCAGTGTTTCCCAGTGTTTTCCTGGTGTTTTCCTGGCTCTGACTCCCATTTTTCCCGGTTTTTCTCAGGGTTTCCCAGTGTTTTCCCGGTGTTTCCCGCTGTTTCCCTGCTGTTTTCCCAGTGTTTCCCCGCTGTTTCCCCACTGTTTTTCCCACTGTTTTTCCCGCTGTTTTCCCGCTGTTTTCCCGCTGTTTCCTGGTGTTTTTCCCGGTGTTTCCCCGGTGTTTCCCCACTGTTTTCCTGGTGTTTTTCCCAGTGTTTTCCTGCTGTTTCCCCAGTGTTTTCCCGGTGTATCCCCAGTGTTTCTCCCAACGTTTTCCTGGTGTTTTTCCCCGCTGTTTCCCTGGTGTTTCCTGCTGTTTTCCCGCTGTTTTCCTGCTGTTTCCCTGGCGTTTTCCCGGTGTTTCCCGGCGCTGACTCCCAGTATTTTCCCGGTATTTTCCCGCTGTTTCCCCGGTGTTTTCCCGCTGTTTTCCCGGTGTTTCCCCACTGTTTCCCCGGTATTTTCCCGCTGTTTCCCGCTGTTTCCCCGCTGTTTTCCCCGCTGTTTTCCTGGTGTTTCCCCGCTGTTTTCCCGGTGTTTTCCCGCTGTTTCCCCGCTGTTTTCCCGGTGTTTTTCCCGGTGTTTCCCGGCACTGACTCCCATTGTTTTCCCGGTATTTTCCCGCTGTTTCCCTGGTATTTTCCCGGTGTTTTCCCGGTGTTTCCCCGCTGTTTTCCTGGTGTTTCCCTGGTGTTTTTCCCAGTGTTTCCCTGGTGTTTTCCCGGTGTTTTTCCTGGTATTTCCCCAGTGTTTTTCCCAGTGTTTTCCTGGTGTTTTTCCTGGTGTTTTCCCGGTGTTTTCCCCGTGCTGACTCCCCTTTTTCCCTGGTGTTTCTCCAATGTTTTCCCAATGTTTTTCCTGTTGTTTTCCCAGTGTTTTCCCGGTGTTTTTCATGATGTTTTTCCCAGGATTTCCCTGGTGTTTTTCCTAGTGTTTTCACTGTGTTTTTCCTGTTGTTTTCCCAGTGTTTTTCCTGGTGTTTCCCCGCTGTTTCCCCGCTGTTTTCCCGGTGTTTCCGGGCGCTGACTCCGGCTGTTCCCGCAGGCACCACGGCCGCGCCGTGCGCTCGGTGGCGTTCCACCGGCGGTACCCGCTCTTCGCCTCCGGCTCCGACGACGGCTCCGTCATCGTCTGCCACGGAATGGTCTACAAGTACGGGAATATCCCGGGAATTCCGGGTGGGATCTGTGGGTGGGATTCGTGGGATCCGTGGGAATCCCGGGATTTATTAATGGGATTGTCAGATTTATGGGATTCATGGCAAGTACGGGATTTATTTATGGGATTTATGGATTTATTTATGGGATTTAGGGATTTATTTATGGGATTTATGGATTTATTTATGGGGTTTATGGATTTATTCATGGGAATTAGGGGATTTATTTGTGGGAATTACAGAATTATGGGATTTATTTCTGAGATTCGCAGGATTCACGGGAATTCTGGGGTTTATTTGTGGGATTTCTGGGATTCATGGGAATTCCGGGATCTATTTGTGGGATTTACAGGATTTATGGGTAATTTCAGGATTTATTTATGGGATTTCTGGGATTAACAGGAATTCCCATTCCCAGTGTCAGAATTCCTGTTCTTACACCTGGAGTTCCCATTCCTGGTGTCAGATTTCCCATTCCCACTGTGAGAATTGCTATTCCTTGTGTCAGAATTCCCATTCCTGGAGTGGAGCTCCCACTCCCAGTGCGGCATTCCCATTGTTCCGGGTGGGAATTCCCACTCCCGATGCAGAGTTCGGGTCGTTCCAGGTGGGAATTTTCATTCTGGGTGAGAATTACCGCTCCTGGTGTCAGAATTCCCGTTGTTTTGGGTGGGAATTCCCGTTGTTACGGGTGAGAATTCCCGCTCCAGGTGCAGAGTTTGGACCATTCCGGGTGTGAAATTCCCATCATTCCGGGTGGGAATTCCCGCTGTGGGTGGGAATTCCGGCTCTGGGTGTGGGGTTCCCGTTATTCTGGGTGGGAATTCCTGCTGCGGGTGTTGGAATTTCCATCATTCCGGGTGGGAATTCCCGCTGTGGGTGGGAATTCCGGTTCTGGGTGTGGCATTCCCGTTGTTTTGGGTGGGAATTCCCGCTCTGGGTGTGGGAATTCCCGTCATTGCGGGTGGGAATTTTTGTTCTGGGTGGGAATTCCCACTCCCAGTGCGGGGTTCCCGTCATTCCGGGCGGGAATTCCTGCTCCGGGTGTGGGAATTCCCACTGCGGGTGTGGGAATTCCTGTGGTTCTGGGTGGGAATTTTCGTTCTGGGTGGGAATTCTGGCTCTGGGTGTGGGATTCCCTTCATTCTGGGTGGGAGTTCCTGTTGTTCCGGGTAGGAATTCCCATCATTCTGGGTGGGAATTCCTGCTGCGGGTGTTGGAATTCCCGTCGTTCCGGGTGGGAATTCCGGCTCCGAGTGCGGTGTTCCCGTTGTTTTGGGTGGGAATTCCCACTGTGGGTGTCGGAATTCCCGTCATTGCAGGTGGGAATTTTCGTTCTGGGTGGGAATTCCCACTGCGGGTGTCGGAATTCCTGTTGTTCCCGGTGGGAATTCTGGCTCTGGGTGTGGGGTTCCCGTCATTCCAGGTGGGAATTCCTGCTGTGGGTGGGAATTCCGTCTCTGGGTGCGGGGTTCCCGTCGTTCCGGGCGGGAATTCCCACTCCGGGTGCGGAGTTCCCATTGTTTTGGGTGGGAATTCCTGTCATTCTGGGTGGGAATTCCCGCTGCAGGTGGGAATTCCGGCTCTGGGTGTGGGGTTCCCATCATTCTGGGTGGGAGTTTCCGTCATTCCAGGTGGGAATTCCGGCTGTGGGTGGGAATTTCGGCTCTGGGTGCAGGGTTCCCATTATTCCGGCTAGGAATTCCCACTGCAGATGGGAATTCCAGCTCCAGGTGTGGGGTTCCCATCATTCCGGGTGGGAATTTTCGTTCTGGGTGGGAATTCCGGCTCTGGGTGTCGGAATTCCCACTGCGGGTGGGAATTCCGGCTCTGGGTGTGGGGTTCCCGTCATTCTGGGTGGGAGTTCCCGTAGTTCCAGGTGGGAATTCCCGCTGCAGGTGTTGGAATTCCTGTCGTTCCGGGCGGGAATTCCCACTCCGGGTGTCGGAATTCCGGCTGCGGGTGGTAATTCCGTGTGTTCGGGTGTGAATTCCGTGTTTCCGGCAGTGACCTGCTGCAGAACGCGCTGCTGGTGCCGCTGAAGGTGCTGAAGGGCCACAGCCCCCGCCTGGAGCTCGGCGTCCTCGACGTCGCCTTCCACCCCCAGCAGCCCTGGCTCTTCTCCGCCGGCGCCGACGGCACCCTGCGCCTCTACACCTGAGCCCCGATCCCACGGGATCCGCCCCGATCCGCAGGGATCCACCCCGATCCGGAGGGATCCGCCGCCTCAGGAAGGCACCGCGCTCAATAAAGGCTTTTTTTGGATGCAATTCCCGGCTCTTCGTGTCCTCAGTTTCCCCGTGTGCCCAGTATTCCCATTCCCACATTTCCTACCCCTGACGTTCCTCGTGGGAATCTGCCAGGGATCCGGTGGGATCCAGAGGGATCCACCGCCTGTGGAATTCACCGCGCTCAATGAAGGCTCATTTTGGATACGATCCCAGGATCTTCATGTGCCGAATTCCCCAATATTCCCATCCCACATTCCCTACCCCTGACGTTCCCCGTGGGAATCTGACGGGGATCCGGTGGGATCCGCCGGGATCTGCCGGGATCGGAATTCCTGCTCCCAGCGCTCAGTAAAGGCTTTTATTGGATACGATCCCAGGATCTTCGTGTTCCAAATTCCCCAATGTTCCCATTCCCACATCCCTCAGTGTCCCCAGTCCCATTCCCACATTCCTGGCACCTGACATTCCCGGGATCCAGCGGGATCCGCAGGGATCCAGAGGGATCCACCGCCTGCGGAATTCACCGCGCTCAATAAAGGCTCGTTTTCAATACGATCCCGGGATCTTCGCGTCCCAAATTCCCCAATATTCCCATCCCCACATCCCTCAGTGTTCCCAGTCCCATTCCCACATTCCTTGCACCTGATATTCCCGGGATCCAGCGGGATCCAGAGGGATCCACCGCCTGCGGAATTCACCGCACTCAATAAAGGCTTTTTATGGATGTAATTCCCGGCTCTTCGTGTCCTCAGTTTCCCCGTGTCCCCATTCCCATTCCCACATTTCCTACCCCTGACATTCCCATGGGAATCTGCCGGGATCCGGAGGGATCCAGTGGAATTCACCGCGCTCAATAAAGGCTCATTTTGGATACGATCCCGGGATCTTCGTTTGCCAAATTCCCCAATATTCCCATTCCCACATCCCTCAGTGTTCCCAGTCCCATTCCCACATTCCTTGCACCTGACATTCCCGGGATCCAGCGGGATCCAGAGGGATCCAGAGGGATCCGCCGCCTCAGGAAGGCACCGCGCTCAATAAAGGCTTTTTTGGGATGTCATTCCCGGGATCTTCATGTCCCGAATTCCCCAATGTTCCCAGTCCCATTCCCACATTCCCTACCCCTGACATTCCCATGGGAATCTACCGGGATCCAACGGGATCCGCCGGGATCTGCCGGGATTGGAATTCCTGCTCCCAGCGCTCAGTAAAGGTTTTTATTGGATACGATCCCGGGATCTTTGCGTCCCAAATTCCCCAATATTCCCATTCCCACATCCCTCCACGTTCCCAGTCCCATTCCCACATTCCCTACCCCTGACATTCCCATGGGAATCTGCCGGGATCCAACGGGATCCAGTGGAATTCACCGCGCTCAATAAAGGCTCGTTTTGGATACGATCCCGGGAACTTCGTGTGCCGAATTCCCCAATATTCCCATTCCCACATCCCTCAGTGTTCCCAGTCCCATTCCCACATTCCTGGCACCTGACATTCCCGGGATCCAGTGGGATCCAGAGGGATCCGCCGCCTCAGGAAGGCACCGCGCTCAATAAAGGCTTTTTTTGGATGCAATTCCCGGCTCTTCGTGTCCTCAGTTTCCCCGTGTTCCCATCCCCATTCCCACATTTCCTACCCCTGACATTCCCTGTGGGAATCTGCCGGGATCCAACGGGATCCAGTGGAATTCACCGTGCTCAATAAAGGCTTTTATTGGATACGATCCCGGGATCTTCGTGGGCCGAATTCCCCAATATTCCCATCCCACATCCCTCCATATCCCAAATCCCATCCTCGCATTCCCTACCCCTGACATTCCCATGGGAATCTGCCGGGATCCAACGGGATCCAGTGGAATTCACTGCGCTCAATAAAGGCTTTTTTTGGATACGATCCCGGGATCTTCGTGGGCCGAATTCCCCAATGTTCCCATTCCCACATCCCTCCGTGTTCCCAGTCCCATTCCCACTTTCCTGGCACCTGACATTCCCGGGATCCAGAGGGATCCGGAGGGATCCGCCGCCTCAAGAAGGCACCGCGCTCAAGAAAGGCTTTTTTGGGATGTCATTCCCGGGATCTTCGTGTCCTGAATTCCCCAATGTTCCCATTCCCATTCCCACATTCCCTACCCTTGACATTCCCCATGGGAATCGGTTGGAATCCAACCGGATCCGCTGGGATCTGCCGGGATTGGAATTCCTGCTCCCAGCGCTCAGTAAAGGCTTTTATTGGATACGATCCCAGGATCTTCTTGTCCCGAATTCCCCAATATTCCCATTCCCACATCCCTCAGTGTCCCCAGTCCCATTCCCACATTCCCTACCCCTGACATTCCCCATGGGAATCAGTTGGAATCCAACCGGATCCGCTGGGATCTGCCAGGATTGGAATTCCTGCTCCCAGTGCTCAGTAAAGGTTTTATTGGATACGATCCCGGGATCTTTGTGTGCCGAATTCCCCAATGTTCCCATCCCATATCCCTCCATATCCCAAATCCCATTCCCACATTTCCTACCCCTGACATTCCCATGGGAATCTGCCGGGATCCAACGGGATCCAGTGGAATTCACCGCGCTCAATAAAGGCGTTTTTTGGATGTGATCCCGGGATCTTCGTGTTCCAAATTCCCCAATATTCCCATTCCCACATCCCTCAGTGTTCCCAGTCCCATTCCCACATTCCTGGCACCTGATATTCCCGGGATCCAGCGGGATCCGCAGGGATCCGCCGCCTCAGGAACACACCGCGCTCAATAAAGGCTTTTTTTGGATGCAATTCCCGTCTCTTCGTGTCCTCAGTTTCCCCGTGTTCCCAGTATTCCCATTCCCACATTCCCTACCCCTGACATTCCCATGGGAATCTGCTGGGATCCAACGGGATCCAGTGGAATTCACTGCGCTCAATAAAGGCTCGTTTTGGATACGATCCCGGGATCTTCATGTGCCGAATTCCCCAATATTCCCATTCCCACATCCCTCAGTGTTCCCTGTCCCATTCCCACATTCCTGGCACCTGATATTCCCGGGATCCAGCGGGATCCAGAGGGATCCGCAGGGATCCGCCACCGGCAGGAGGCACCGCGCTCAATAAAGGCTTTTTTGGGATGTCATTCCCGGCTCTTCGTGTCCTCAGTTTCCCCGTGTCCCCAGTCCCATTCCCACATTTCCTACCCTTGACATTCCCATGGGAATCTGCCGGGATCCAGCGGGATCCAGTGGGATTCACCGCGCTCAATAAAGGCTCTTTTTGGATACGATCCCGGGATCTTTGGGTGCCGAATTCCCCAATATTCCCATTCCCACATCCCTCGGTGTTCCCAGTCCCATTCCCACTTTCCTGGCACCTGATATTCCCGGGATCCAGTGGGATCCAGAGGGATCCAGAGGGATCCAGAGGGATCCACCGCCTCAGGAAGGCACCGCGCTCAATAAAGGCTTTTTTGGGATGTCATTCCCGGGATCTTCGTGTCCCGAATTCCCCAAAGCACCTGGGAACCCCAAATTCACACCTGGGAACTCCAAATTTACACCCAAAACCCCCAAATTTACACCTGGAACCCCAAATTCACACCTGGAAACCCAAATTTACACTGGGAACACCAAATTTACACCCGGAACACCAAATTCACACCTGGAACACCAAATTCACACCTGGGACCCCAAATTCACGCCTGGAACTCAAAATTCGCACCTGGGAACCCAAATTCACACCCGGAACCCCAAATTTACACCGGGAACCCCAAATCCGCACCTGGGAACCCCAAATTTACATCTGGGAACCCCAAATTCACACCTGGAACCCCAAATTCACACCCGGAACCCCAAATTCACACCTGGGAACCCAAAATTCACATCTGGAACCCCCAAATTTATACCCAAAACCCCCAAATTCACACCCAGAACCCCAAATTCACACCCGGAGCCCCAAATTCACTCCTGGGAACCCCAAATTCACACCTGGAAACCCCAAATTCACACCTGGAACCCCAAATTTACAGCTGGGAACCCCAAATTCACACCTGGAACCCCAAATCCGCACCTGGAACCCCAAATTCACACCCGGAGCCCCAAATTCACTCCTGGGAACCCCAAATTCACACCTGGAAACCCCAAATTCACACCTGGAACGCCAAATTCACACCTGGGAACCCCAAATTCACACCTGGAACCCCAAATTCACACCTGGGACCCCAAATTTACACCCAAAACCCCCAAATTTACACCTGAAACCCCAAATTTACACCTGGGAACCCCAAATCCGCACCTGGAACCCCAAATTTACACTTGGAACCCCAAATTTACATCTGGAACCCCAAATTCACACCTGGAACCCCAAATTCACACCTGGGAACCCCAAATTCACACCCGGAACCCCACATTCACACCTGGGACCCAAAATTTACACCTGGAACCCCAAATTCACACCTGGAACCCCAAATTCGCACCTGGAACCCCAAATTTACACCTGGAACCCCAAAGTCACACCTGGGAACGCAAATTCACACCTCAGACCCCAAATTCACACCTGGGACTCCCAAATTCACACCTGGGAACCCAAAATTCACATCTGGAACCCAAAATTTATACCCAAAAACCCCAAATTTACTCCTGGGAACCCCAAATTTACAACTGGGAATTGGATCTGGAATTGTGTCTGGAATTGGGATCTGGGATGGGATCTGGGGTGGGATCAGGATTGGGATTCAGGGATGAGATTTGGGATGGGATCTGGAATGGGATCTGGGGTGGGATCTGGGATGATATTTGGGATAGGATTCGGAATTGGGTCGGGAATGGGATCTGGGATCAGGATTGGGATCAGGGATGAGATTTGGGATAGAATCTGGACTGGGATCTGGGATGGGATCTGGGATGGGATGTGGAATTGGGATCTGGGATGGGATCTGGACCGGGATCTGAACTGGGATCTGGGATGGGATCTGGGATGGGATCAGGATTGGGATCTGGGATGGGATCAGGATTGGGATCTGGGATGAGATTTGGGATAGGATCTGGAATTGTGTCTGGAATGGGATCTGGGATCAGGATTGGGATCAGGGATGAGATTTGGGATAGGCTCTGGAATTGGATCTGGAATGGGATCTGGGGTGGGATCTGGGATGAAATTTGGGATAGGATCTGGAATGGGATCTGGACCAGGATCTGGACTGGGATCTGGGATGGGATCAGGATTGGGATCTGGACCAGGATCTGGACTGGGATCTGGGATGGGATCAGGATTGGGATCTGGAATTGGGTCTGGGGTGGGATCAGGATTGGGATCTGGGATCAGGATTGGGATCTGGGATGAAATTTGGGATAGGATCTGGAATTGGGATCTGGAATGGGATCTGGAATTGGGATCTGGAATTGGGATCTGGGATGGGATCAGGATTGGGATCTGGGATCAGATTTGGGATAGGATCTGGAATGGGATCTGGAATGGGATCTGGGATGGGATCTGGGATCAGGATTGGGATCAGGGATGAGATTTGGGATGGGATCTGGAATGGGATCTGGGATGAAATTTGGGATAGGATCTGGAATGGGATCTGGAATGGGATCTGGGATGAGATTTGGGATAGGATCCGGAATTGGGATCTGGAATGGGATCTGGGATGAAATTTGGGATGGGATCAGGATTGGGATCTGGACCAGGATCTGGGATGGGATCTGGGGTGGGATCAGGATTGGGATCTGGGATGAGATTTGGGATGGGATCTGGAATTGGGTCCGGGGTGGGATCTGGACTGGGATCTGGGATCAGGATTGGGATCTGGGATGAGATTTGGGATGGGATCTGGAATGGGATCTGGACCAGGATCTGGGATAGGATCTGGAATTGGGTCTGGAATTGGGATCTGGACCGGGATCTGGAATGGGATCTGGGATGGGATCAGGATTGGGATCTGGGATCAGGATCTGGGATGGGATCTGGGGTGGGATCAGGATTGGGATCTGGGATGAGATTTGGGATGGGATCTGGAATGGGATCTGGGATCAGGATTGGGATCTGGGATGCGATTTGGGATAGGATCTGGAATTGGGATCTGGAATGGGATCTGGAATGGGATCTGGAATGGGATCTGGGATCAGGATTGGGATCTGGGATGAGATTTGGGATAGGATCTGGAATGGGATCTGGACCGGGATCTGGAATGGGATCTGGGATGGGATCAGGATTGGGATCTGGGATGAGATTTGGAATGGGATCTGGAATTGGGTCCGGGGTGGGATCTGGAATGGGATCTGGGATGATATTTGGGATAGGATTCGGAATTGGGTCTGGAATGGGATCTGGGATCAGGGTTGGGATCTGGGATGAGATTTGGGATAGGATCTGGAATTGGGATCTGGGATGGGATCAGGATTGGGATCTGGACCGGGATCTGGGATGGGATCTGGGATGAGATCTGGGATAGGATCCGGAATTGGATCTGGACCGGGATCCCAAAGGAAAACCCAAAGGTGGGACAGGAACGGGGCAGGCCCAGCCAGGAAATTCCAAGATTTTCCCTCCGGATCAGAGGCCGGGAAGGACTCCCGGATCCTCCCCATGGAGGCACCGGTGGGATCCCCCCTCCCAAACCCCAAATCCCGAGGAATCCCGGAATTCCGGAGCGGGATCGGGAGCCAAAAGCTTTATTTGGGGGGTGGAGGGCTGGGAATGGATCCATCGGATCCCATCCCAAATTCCGGCCGTTTTCCCGACTTTTTTGCCCCGGGAAGGCGCCGGCGTTCCCGGCATTCCCGAGGGTGAAGGTGCAGGAAGACTTTTCCCATGGATTGGGATCCCTCGGGATGGGATTGGGATCCCTCGGGGTATTGCTGAGCAGAGCCGGGAATTCCGGGAATTCCGGGATTCAGAGGATCCGGACGAGCCGTCCCAGGGTCTCAGAGCTGGGAATTCCCGGGAATTTTGGGAATTCCGGGATTCAGAGGATCCGGACGAGCCGTCCCAGGGTCTCGGCCGCCTTGATCCGCACGTCCGGGGTCGGATCCTTCAGCAGCAGCTGCAGGGCTGGAACGGCACAGCAGGGACGGGTCAGTGCCGGGATCGGGATCGGGAGCGGGAGCGGGATCAGGATCGGGATGGGGTCAGCATCGGGATGGGGTCAGCATTGGGATCGGGGTCGGGATTGGGATCGGGATCGGGATTGGGATTGGGATTGGGATCGGGATCGGGATCGGGATCAGGATCGGGATCGGGGTCAGGATTGGGATCGGGATCGGGATCAGGGTGGGGTCGGGATGGGGTCAGGATGGGGTCAGGATCAGGATCGGGATCGGGATTGGGATCGGGGTGGGGTCAGCAGCAGGATCGGGATCGGGATCAGGATTGGGATGGGGTCAGTGCCGGGATCGGGATTGGGATTGGGATCAGGATTGGGATCGGGATCGGGATGGGGCCAGCACCGGGATCGGGATCAGGATGGGGTAAGGATCAGGATCGGGATCAGGATCGGGACCGGGATCGGGATTGGGATCGGGATCAGGATGGGGATCGAGATTAGGATTGGGTCAGTGCCAGGATCGGGATTGGGATCAGGATGGGGATCAGGATGGGATCAGGATGGGGATCAGGATGGGGTCAGCACCGGGATCGGGATCAGGATGGGGTCAGGATCGGGATCAGGATCGGGATCGGGATTGGGATTGGGTCAGCATCAGGATGGGGTCAGTGCCAGGATCGGGATCGGGATCAGGATCAGATCGGGATCGGGATTGGGATCGGGGTGGGGTCAGCACCGGGATCGGGATCAGGATGGGGTCGGGATCAGGATCGGGATCGGGATGAGGATCGGGATTAGGATCGGGATGGAGATCAGGATGGGGATTGAGATTGGGATTGGGGTCAGGGTCAGGATTGGGATGAAGATCGGGTCAGGATAGGGATTGGGATCGGGATCAGGGTCAGGATTGGGAGGAGGATCAGGATCGGGATTAGTATCAAGATTGGAATTGGGATCAAGATCGGGATCAAGACTAAAATCAGAATCAAGATTGGGATCAGGATCAGGATTGGGATCGGGGATGGGGTCAGCATCGGGATCAGGTCAGGATGGGGTCGGGATCAGGATCAGGATTGGGATAAGGATCAGGATTAGGATCGGGATGGAGATCAGGATGGGGTAAGGATGGGGATCGGGATCGGGATCGGGATGGGGATGGGGTCAGCATCGGGATCGGGTCAGAATGGGGTCGGGATCGGGTCAGGATGGGGTCGGGATCGGGATCAGGATTGGGATCGGGATTGGGATCGGGATGGGGTCAGCACCAGGATCGGGATCGGGATCAGGATAGGGTCAGCAGCGGGATCGGGATCGGGATTGGGATCGGGATCGGGATCGGGATCAGGATGGGGTCAGGATCGGGATCGGGATGGGGTCAGCACCGGGATCGGGTCAGGATGGGGTCAGGATCGGGATCAGGATCGGGATCGGGATCGGGATTGGGTCAGCGCCGGGATCGGGATCGGGATCGGGATTGGGTCAGCATCAGGATGGGGTCAGTGCCAGGATCGGGATCGGGATCGGGATTGGGTCAGCGCCAGGATCGGGATCGGGATCAGGATTGGGATCGGGATCGGGGTGGGGTCAGCACCGGGATCGGGTCAGGCTGGGGTCGGGATCAGGATCAGGATTGGCATGAGGATCGGGATTAGGATCGGGATGGAGATCAGGATGGGGTAAGGATCGGGATCGGGATGGGGATCGAGATTGGGATTGGGGTCAGGGTCAGGATTGGGATGAGGATCGGGTCAGGATAGGGATTGGGATTGGGATCGGGATCAGGATTGGGATGAGGATCAGGATCAGGATTAGTATCAAGATTGGAATTGGGATCAAGATCGGGATCAGGACTAGAATCAGAATCAGGATTAGGATCAGGATCAGAATTGGGATCAGGATCAGGATTGGGATCAGGGTCAGGATCGGGATCAGGATCAGGATTGGGATGAGGATCGGGATTAGGATCGGGATGGAGATCAGGATGGGGTAAGGATCGGGATCGGGATCGGGATCGGGATGGGGTCAGCAGCAGGATCGGGATCAGGATTGGGATTGGGATGAGGATCAGGATCGGGATTAGTATCAAGATTGAAATTGGGATCAGGATCAGGACTAGAATCAGAATCAAGATTGGGATCAGGATCAGGATCGGGATCAGGATCGGGATAGGGATCAGGGTTAGGATTGGGATCGGGATCAGGATCAGGATCGGGATCAGGATCAGGATTGGGATCGGGATCAGGATCAGGATCGGGATCAGGATCGGGATTGGGATCGGGATCAGAATTGGGATTGGGATCAGGTCAGGACCGGGACCAGGATTGGGATCAGGATCAGGATCAGGATCAGGACCGGGACCAGGACCAGGATCGGGATCGGGATCAGGATCAAGATCAGGATTGAGATCAGGATGAGGATGAGGATGGGGATCCCCTAGCCCAGGATATGGCACTGGAAACTCCGGGAATTCCCAGGGATTCCCACCACATTCCCATCTCATTCCTGCTTTTTTTCCCCCTGGAATTCTGCTGCATCCCCCTGGAGCAGTTCCCGGCTCCGGGAGCCGCTCCAGGATTTGGGAAAATCCCCTGGGATCCACTCCAGGAAATTCCCATCCCCCATCCCGGAATTCCCAGTCCTGACGGATTTCCCGGATCCGGGGCAATTTTTATGGATTGTTTTCCCAAAAAAGCCGAGGATTTCATTCCTATCATTTTCCAGGATTTAAGGAGTGACAGGGAAAGGTTCCGGTGGCAGAAAAGTGGGATAAAAAGGGAGGAAAATTCGGGATTTTCCCAGCTCGGCTCCTTCTTTCTCCCTGTTTGTCCCAGGATTTTTTTTTATTTTTTTTTTCCAGTGGGGAGAGCAAAAATTGGAATGAAACGAAATTGGAATGAATGGCTCGGGATGAGCCAAAAAAATCAAAAATAAAGGCTTGGGATGATCCCAAAATATTCAAATTAAAGACACAGCATGATCCAAAAAAAAATTTAAAATTAAGGAATATTCACGATGATCCCAAATAAATCAAAAGTAGAGGCTCGGGATAATCCCAAAAACCTTAAAATTACAGGTGCGGGATGATCCCAAAAAATTAAAATTAAATGTTTGTAATGATCCCAAAAAAACCCCTAAAAATAAAAGAAAAAGCTTGGGATGATCCCAAAAAATTTAAAGGAGAGGCTCGGGATGATCCCAAAAAATTAAAAATAAAATCTTGGGATAATCCCAAAAACCTTAAAATTACAGGTGCGGGATGATCCTAAAAAATTAAAATGAAATGTTTGTAATGATCCCAAAAAAACCCTAAAAATAAAAGAAAAGGATCGGGATGATCCCAAAAAAAATGTAAAGAAAAGGCTCGGGATGATCCCAAAAAAATTGAAAGGAGAGGCTTGGGATGATCCCAAAAAGCCGAAAATTAAAACAAAAGGTTCAGGATGATCCCAAAAAATTAAAAGTAAAAGCTTGGGATGATCCCAAAACTCCTAAAATGACAGGTGTGGGATGATCCCAAAAAATTAAAATTAAATGATTGTGATGATCCCAAAAAAACCCCCTAAAAATAAAAGAAAAGGCTCAGGATGATCCCAAAAAATTAAAAGTAAAAGCTTGGGATGATCCCAAAACCCCTAAAATAACAGGTGCGGGATGATCCTAAAAAATTAAAATTAAATGTTTGTAATGATCCAAAAAAAACCCTAAAAATAAAAGAAAAAGCTTGGGATGATCCCAAAAAAATGTAAAGAAAAGGCTCAGGATGATCCCAAAAAAACCCTAAAATTAAAATGAAAGGTTCAGGATGATCCCAAAAAATTAAAAGTAAAAGCTTGGGATGATCCCAAAAACCTTAAAATTACAGGTGCGGGATGATCCCAAAAACTTAAAATTAAATGTTTGTAATGATCCCAAAAAAACCCTAAAAATAAAATAAAAGGCTCAGGATGATCCCAAAAAATTAAAAGTATAAAAGCTTGGGATGATCCCAAAACTCCTAAAATTACAGGTGTGGGATGATCCTAAAAAATTAAAATTAAATGTTTGTAATGATCCAAAAAAAACCCTAAAAATAAAAGAAAAGGCTCAGGATGATCCCAAAAACGCTAAAATTAAAACAAAAGGTTCAGGATGATCCCAAAAAATTAAAAGTAAAAGCTTGGGATAATCCCAAAAAGGCTTGGGATGATCCCAAAAAATTAAAAGTAAAAGCTTGGGATGATCCCAAAAACCTTAAAATGACAGGTGTGGGATGATCCTAAAAAATTAAAATTAAATATTTGTAATGATCCCAAAAATCCCTAAAATTAAAAGAAAAGGATCGGGATGATCCCCAAAAAAATTGAAAGGAGAGGGTCAGGATGATCCCAAAAAATTAAAAATAAAAGCTTGGGATGATCCCAAAACCTCTAAAATAACAGGTGTTGGATGATCCCAAAAAATTAAAATTAAATGTCCCAAAAAACCCTAAAATTAAAAGAAAAGGCTCGGGATGATCCCAAAAAAATTGAAAGGAGAGGCTTGGGATGATCCCAAAAAAACCTAAAATTAAAACAAAAGGTTCAGGATGATCCCAAAAAATTAAAAATAAAAACTTGGGATGATCCCAAAAAATTAAAAGTAAAAGCTTGGGATAATCCCAAAGAATTAAAACTGGAATTAAAACCTCGGTCCCCTTTGATCCGGGAATTTGGGGCTGGATTGGGAACGAATCCCGCGGGATTTTCCCGGCCAAGCCCTTCCCAACCCCCATTCCCAAATCTGGGATCGCATCCAGGGATTTTTTATTCCCAATTTTTTTCCTTGTTTATCCCACATTCCCGGGGATTTTCCCTCATTCCCGTCGGGATCGGATCCCCTCTCAAGATCCCCAAAATTCCCCGAATTCCGGGCGAATTCCGGGTGAAAATTCCAACTCCCCCTTTTCTCCGGGCAGGGCCCTCGGAGCCGACGGAAAAACGACTTTTTCCCTTTTTTAGAGTTTTTTGCGGCTCCCTTGGAACGCTCGGGAATTTTCCGGGCTCGGCTCCACGGGATGAGGTCAGCGGCGAGAGGGAAAAAATCCCTGAAATCCAAAAAAGTGACTTCACCCCGCCGGGAGCCAGGAGGGCCCTTCCCGGGAGGTTCGGGGCCCTCCGGACACCAAAAACGGGAATTCCACCCCAAAATCCTAAAAGCCCCAAAAAATGAGGAATTTTGGCCTGAAAAATGGGATTTTTTACTCTAAAAATGGGGGTTTTTTTCCTTAAAAATAGGATTTTTTTTCCTCTAAAAATGAGGAATTTGGGCCTGAAAAATGGGAATTTTCCCTAAAAGTGGGATTTTTTTTTTTCCTAAAAATGGGATTTTTTTTCCTCTAAAAAGGAGGAGTTTTGGCCTGAAAAAATGGGATATTTTACTCTAAAAATGGGGTTTTTTTTCCCTAAAAATTGGACTTTTTTTCCCTAAAAATGGGATTTTTCTTCCTCTAACAATGAGGAATTTTGGCCTGAAAAATGGGGGGTTTTTACTCTAAAAATGGGGGGTTTTTTTACTCTAAAAATGGGGGTTTTTTTCCCCTAAAAATTGGACTTTTTTCCCTAAAAATGGGATTTTTCTCCCTCTAAAAATGAGGAATTTTGGCCTGAAAAATGGGGTTTTTTTACTCTAAAAATGGGATTTTTTTTCCCTAAAAATGGGATTTTTTTTTCTCAAAAAATGGGATTTTTTTCCTCTAAAAATGAGGAATTTTGGCCTGAAAAATGGGATTTTTTTCCCTAAAAATGGGATTTTTTTTTTTCCCATAAAAATGGGATTTTTTTCCCTAAAAATGAGATTTTTTTTCCCTAAAAATTGGAATTTTTTTCCACCAAAAATTAGGAATTTTGGCCTGAAAAATGAGATTTTTTTTTCCCTATAAATGGGGTTTTTTTCCCTAAAAATGGGAATTTTTTTACCCTAAAATTGAGCAATTCTGGCCTGAAAAATAGGACTTTTCCCTAAAAATGGGACTTCTTCCCTAAAAATCGGATTTTTTTACCCTTAAAAATGAGGAATTATGGCCTGAAAAATGGGATTTTTTTCCCTAAAGATGGGATTTTTTTTCCCCTAAAAATGAGGAATTTTGGCCTGAGAAATGGGATTTTTTTACTCTAAAAATAGGAATTTTTTTTCCCTAAAAACGGGGGTTTTTTTCCCTGAAAAGTGAGCAATTCTGACCTGAAAAATGGGATTGTTTTCCCTAAAAATGGGATTTGGGCCTGAAAAATGGGATTTTTTCCTTAAAAATGAGGAATTTTTGCCTGAAAAATGGAATTTTTTCCCTAAAAATTTTCTGAAGTTTTCTGACCTGAAAAGTTGCATTTGGCCCTAAAAAAATAGAAGTTTAAATTGTAAAAATGGAAAATTTGACCTAAAAATGTGGTATTTTCCAAAAAAAAATCAAAGTTCATATCCTAAAAAATGGAATTTTGCCCTAAAACCGAGGAATTTGACCCTAGAAATTGAAGTTTAGATCCTAAAAATGGTATTTTTTGCCTAAAAATGGGATTTTTTTTTCCCGTAAAAATGAGGAATTCAGCCCTAAAAATGCAAAATTTTCCCCAAAATTGAAGTTCAGACCCTACAAAATGTTGATTTTTTTTCCTTAAAAGTTGGGAATTCCCAAAAAAATAAATTTTGGGGAATTGGCACTCACCAGAGATGAGCTGGTCCAGGTCCACCTGCTGGCCTTGCTCCTCATCCACGTGGAGCACCAGGAATCCTGGAGGGAATTTCGGGATCAGGGATGGGAATGGGAATATTCCCTAAAAAAACCCAAATTATCCCCAAAAAACCCCATCAAAATAGCCCAAAACCTTCAAAATTGCCCCAAAAATCATCAAAAATCACCAAAATTAACAAAAAACCCCTTGGGGACCTCCAGATCTGATGTCACCTCCTGGTGACAAAAGCCACCACTGGGATTCCAGGAGGTGACAGGACCTGAGTCCACCTGGGGACAAGTTTGGGGTCACCAGGGACCTCAAAACCTTCAAAATTACCCCAAAAATCATCAAAAATCCCCCCAAAATGCCCTAAAACCACCCAAAACCAGCCCAAAGAAACCCTTGGGGACCTCCAGGGCTGATGTCACCTCCTGGTGACAAAAGCCACCACTGGGACCCCAGAAGGTGACAGGACCTGAGTCCACCTGGGGATAAGTTTGGGGTCACCAGAGATTCCAAAATCTTCAAAATTACCCCAAAAATCATCAAAAATCCCCCAAAATAACAAAACCCCACCAAAAATCCCTTGGGGACCTCCAGGGCTGATGTCACTTCCTGGTGACCAAAGCCACCACTGGGACTCCAGGAGGTGACAGGACCTGAGTCCATCTGGGGACAAGTTTGGGGGTCACTAGAGGCCCCAAAACCTTCAAAATTACCCCAAAAATCATCAAAAAATAACAAAAACAACAAAAAAAAACACACCTAAAACCCCTTGGGGACCTCCAGACCTGATGTCACCTCCTGGTGACCAAAGCCACCACTGGGACCCCAGGAGGTGACAGGACCTGAGCCCACCTGGGGACAAGTTTGGGGTCACCAGGGACCCCAAAATCCCCCCAAAATGCCCTAAAACCACCCAAAACCAACCCAAAACCCCTTGGGTACCTCCAGGGCCGATGTCACCCCTTGGTGACAAAAGCCACCAGCGTGACCCCAGGAGGTGACAGGACCTGACTCCACCTGGGGACAAGTTTGGGGTCACCAGAGGCTCCAAAATCTTCAAAATTCCCCCAAAAAAATCATCAAAAATCCCCCAAAATAACAAAACCCCACCAAAAACCCCTTGGGGACCTCCAGGGCTGATGTCACCTCCTGGTGACAAAAGCCACCACTGGGACCCCAGGAGGTGACAGGACCTGAGTCCACCTGGGGATAAGTTTGGGGTCACCAGGGACCCCAAAACCTTCAAAATTACCCTAAAAATCATCAAAAATCCCCCCAAAATGCCCTAAAACCACCCAAAACCAGCCCAAAAATCCCTTGGGGACCTCCAGGGCTGATGTCACCTCCTGGTGACCAAAGCCACCACTGTGACCCCAGAAGGTGACAGGACCTGAGTCCACCTGGGGACAAGTTTGGGGTCACCAGGGACCCCAAAATCTTCAAAATTACCCCAAAAATCATCAAAAAATACCAAAACCACCCAAAACCAGCCCCAAAATCCCTTGGGGACCTCCAAGATCGATGTCACCCCATGGTGACAAAAGCCACCAGCGTGACCCCAGGAGGTGACAGGACCTGAGTCCACCTGGGGACAAGTTTGAGGTCACCAGAGACCCCAAAATCCCCCCAAAACGCCCTAAAACCACCCAAAACCAGCCCAAAAACCCTTGGGGACCTCCAGGGCTGATGTCACCTCCTGGTGACAAAAGCCACCAACGTGACCCCACGAGGTGACAGAACCAGGGGACAAAAGTGGGGTCACCAGAGACCCCAAAACCTTCTGAATGACCCCCAAAAATCACCCAAAACCACCCGGAACCAGCCCCAAAGGCCTCGGGGACCCGAGGCAGTGGATGGTGGCCCCGGTGACAAAGGCCACCGTGTTGTCCCCGTCCCTCACCGACGGACATGGCCGCCGCCGCCCGCAGCTCCCGCCAGGAGCTCTTGAAGTAGAAGAGGTTGGTGGAGATGAGGCGGCCCAGCAGCGCCGGGCGGCTGCGCATCTGCGGGGACAGCGGGGACATTGGGGACATCGGGGACATTGGGGGGACATTGGGGGGATTGGGGACATTGGGGACATTGGGGACATTGGGGGGACATTGGGGACATTGGGGGGATTGGGGGCATTGGGGGGATTGGGGACATTGGGGACATGGGGGACATTGGGGGGATTGGGGACAGTGGGGACAATGGGGACACTGGGGACATTGGGGGCATTGGGGACATTGGGGGATTGGGGGGATTGGGGACATTGGGGACATTGGGGACATTGGGGACATTGGGGACATTGGGGACATTGGGGGACATTGGGGACACTGGGGACATTGGGGACATTAGGGGGATTGGGACATTGGGGACATTGGGGGGATTGGGGACATTGGGGACATTGGGGGCATTGGGGACACTGGGGACATTTGGGAGTTGGGGACACTGGGGACATTGGGGACATTGGGGACATTTGGGGGGACATTGGGGACATTGGGGACATTTGGGGACATCAGGGACACGTGGGGATATTTGGGACATTGGGGACAATGGGGGGACATTGGGGACATTGGGGACATTGGGGACATTGGGGGGACATTGGGGACATTGGGGACATTGGGGACATTGGGGGGACATTGGGATATGGGACATGGGGACACTCTGGGCACGCAGGGAAATGGGAGAACTCAGTCCCCACCCCAATCCCAAACCCAATCCCCAAATTCCCGATCCCAATCCCATTGTCCAAATCGCAATGTCCCAATGTCCCAAAATCCCGATATCCCAATATCCCAAAATCCCAATATCGCAATGGCCCGATGTCCCAATGTCCCAATATCCCAATATCCCAATGTCCCAATGTCCCAATATCCCAATATCCCAATATCCCAATATCCCAATGTCCCAATATCCCAATGTCCCAATGTCCCAATATCCCAATGTCCCAATGTCCCAATATCCCAATATCCCAATGTCCCAATGTCCCAATATCCCAATATCCCAATGTCCCAATGTCCCAATATCCCAATATCCCAAAATCCCAAATATCCCAATGTCCCCTGTCCCAGTATCCCAATATCCCACTGTCCCAATGTCCCAAAATCCCAATATCCCAATGTCCCAATATCCCAATGTCCCAATATCCCAATATCCCAATATCCCAATATCCCAATGTCCCAATATCCCAATGTCCCAAAATCCCAATATCCCAATGTCCCAATGTCCCAATATCCCAATATCCCAAAATCCCAAAATCCCAATGTCCCAATATCCCAATGTCCCAATATCCCAATATCCCAATGTCCCAATATCCCAATATCCCAATGTCCCAATGTCCCAATATCCCAATATCCCAATATCCCAATGTCCCAATATCCCAATGTCCCAATATCCCAATATCCCAATGTCCCAATGTCCCAATGTCCCAATGTCCCAATATCCCAATGTCCCAATGTCCCAATATCCCAATGTCCCAATATCCCAATGTCCCAATATCCCAATGTCCCAATGTCCCAATATCCCAATATCCCAATATCCCAATGTCCCAATGTCCCAATGTCCCAATGTCCCAATATCCCAATGTCCCGATATCCCAATGTCCCAATGTCCCAATGTCCCAATGTCCCAATATCCCAATGTCCCAATGTCCCAATATCCCAATGTCCCAATATCCCAATGTCCCAATATCCCAATATCCCAATGTCCCAATGTCCCAATATCCCAATATCCCAATATCCCAATGTCCCAATGTCCCAATGTCCCAATGTCCCAATATCCCAATGTCCCGATATCCCAATGTCCCAATGTCCCAATGTCCCAATGTCCCAATATCCCAATGTCCCAATGTCCCAATATCCCAATGTCCCAATATCCCAATGTCCCAATATCCCAATGTCCCAATATCCCAATATCCCAATATCCCAATGTCCCAATGTCCCAATATCCCAATATCCCAATATCCCAATATCCCAATATCCCAAAATCCCCAAATCCCGATATCCCAATGTCCCAACATCCCAATATCCCAAAATTCCAATGATATCCTGATGATATCCTGACGATATCCCGAGGAATTCCCAGGGATGTCCCACCAGGAACTTGCAGACGTCGTTGAGGAACTCCCCGTAGTGCAGCCCCCACACATCCCCAAATCCCAATATCCCAACATCCCAAATCCCAATATCCCAAAATCCCAACATCCCAACATCCCAATACCCCAATATCCCAAAATCCCAATATCCCAATATCCCAATATCCCAAAATCCCAATATCCCGAGGAATTCCCGGGGATGTCCCACCAGGAACTTGCAGACGTCGTTGAGGAACTCCCCGTAGTGCAGCCCCCGCACATCCCCAAATCCCAACATCCCAACATCCCAAAATCCCAAAATCCCGAGGAATTCCCAGGGATGTCCCACCAGGAACTTGCAGACGTCGTTGAGGAACTCCCCGTAGTGCAGCCCCCGCACATCCCCAAATCCCAACATCCCAACATCCCAAAATCCCAAAATCCCAACATCCCAAAATCCCAAAATCCTGACGATATCCCAATATCCCAAAATCCCAAAATCCCGAGGAATTCCCAGGGATGATGTCCCACCAGGAACTTGCAGACGTCGTTGAGGAACTCCCCGTAGTGCAGCCCCCGCTCTTCCCGCAGGTGATTCCCGAACATTTCCCGGAGCTCCTCGCAGCCCAGGCTGGGCCCGCACATCCGCAGCGCGAACTTGCACGCCTGGAAAAGCGGGAACGCCGCCGATTCGGGATGGGGGATCCCCCCAATCGCCGGGAATCCGCCGGGAATTCCCGGGAATCCCACCTTGACCACGTCGGGCTGCGGGTCCTGCAGGTGCAGCAGCAGCGTCACCAGCCCGTTGAGGATCTGCTCCGAGAAAACCTCGGAGTCGGAGCGGCCGAAGCGGGAAAGATTCCCGAAAAGGACGATGGACGAGTGCCGGAGCGCCGCGTGTTCCTGGAAAACCGGGAAAACGGGAATAACGGCGGGGAAATCCCGTAGATCCCACTCTGGGATCCCAAAATCCCCGTCCTGTCATCCCAAAATCTCCATTCTCTGATCCCACCGTTCCCATCCCGTGATCGAGATCCTGTTCCCTGATCCCAAAATTCCCAACCCAGGATCCCAAAATTCCCATGCTGTGATCGAGATCCCGTCTTCTGATCCCAAAATTCCCATCCTGGGATCCCAAAATTCCCATCCTGTGATCTCAAAATCCCCATCCTGTGATGCCAAAATCCCCATCCTGTGATGCCAAAATCCCCATCCTGTGGTCCCAAAATTCCCATCCTGGATCTCAAAATCCCCATCCTGTGATCCCAAAATTCCCATCCCGTGATCGAGAAAAAACCGGGAAAACGGGAATAAATCCCATAGATCCCACTCTGGGATCCCAAAATCCCCGTCCTGTCATCCCAAAATCTCCATCCTCTGCTCCCACCGTTCCCATCCCGTGATCGAGATCCTGTTCCCTGATCCCAAAATTCCCATCCTGTGATCCCAAAATTCCCATGCTGTGATCGAGATCCCGTCTTCTGATCCCAAAATTCCCATCCTGGATCTCAAAATCCCCGTCCTGGGATCCCAAAATTCCCATCCTGGATCTCAAAATCCCCATCCTGTGGTCCCAAAATTCCCATCCTGTGATCCCAAAATTCCCATCCTGGGATCCCAAAATTCCCATCCTGTGATCTCAAAATCCCCATCCTGTGATGCCAAAATCCCCATCCTGTGGTCCCAAAATTCCCATCCTGGATCTCAAAATCCCCATCCTGTGATCCCAAAATTCCCATCCCGTGATCGAGAAAAAACCGGGAAAACGGGAATAAATCCCATAGATCCCACTCTGGGATCCCAAAATCCCCGTCCTGTCATCCCAAAATCTCCATCCTCTGCTCCCACCGTTCCCATCCCGTGATCGAGATCCTGTTCCCTGATCCCAAAATTCCCATCCTGTGATCCCAAAATTCCCATGCTGTGATCGAGATCCCGTCTTCTGATCCCAAAATTCCCATCCTGGATCTCAAAATCCCCGTCCTGGGATCCCAAAATTCCCATCCTGGATCTCAAAATCCCCATCCTGTGGTCCCAAAATTCCCATCCTGTGATCCCAAAATTCCCATCCTGGGATCCCAAAATTCCCATCCTGTGATCTCAAAATCCCCATCCTGTGATGCCAAAATCCCCATCCTGTGGTCCCAAAATTCCCATCCTGGATCTCAAAATCCCCATCCTGTGATCCCAAAATTCCCATCCCGTGATCGAGAAAAAACCGGGAAAACGGGAATAAATCCCATAGATCCCACTCTGGGATCCCAAAATCCCCGTCCTGTCATCCCAAAATCTCCATCCTCTGCTCCCACCGTTCCCATCCCGTGATCGAGATCCTGTTCCCTGATCCCAAAATTCCCATCCTGGGATCCCAAAATCCCTGTCCTGGGATCCCAAAATTCCCGTCCTGTGATCGAGATCCTGTCCCCTGATCCCAAAATTCCCATCCTGGATCTCAAAATCCCCATCCTGTGGTCCCACTGTTCCCATCGTGTGTTTGATATCCCATCCTGGGATCCCAAAATTCCCGTCCTGTGATCCCACCCTTCCATTGTCCCAAGCACCAGGGGACAATCCCAGTGGGACAATTCCAGTGGGAAAATCCCATTGGGACAATTCCATTAGGACAATTCCAATGGGCCAATTCCAATAGGATGATCCCAATGGACCAATCCCAGTGGGACGATCCCAATGGGACAATTCCAGTAGAAAATATCCAATGGGAAAATCCCAATGAGACAATTCCAGTGGTACAAATACAATGGGATGTTCCCAGTGAGAAAATCCCAATGAGAAAATCCCAATGGAAAAATCTCAATGGGACAATTCCAGTAAGAGAATTCCAATGGAAAAATCCCAATGGCCCAATCTCTGTGGAAAAATCCCAATGGACCAATCCCAGTGGCCAATCCCAAAGGAAAAATCTCAATGGGACAATCTCAATGGGACAATCCGATGGACCAATCCCAATGGAAAAATCCCAATAGAAAAATCCCAATGGACCAATCCCAGTGGGACAATCCCAATGGAAAAATTCCAATGGAAAAATCCCAATGGAAAAATTCCAGTGGGCCAATCCCAGTGTGACAATCCAAATGGAAAAAATTCCAATGGAAAAATCCCAATGGGCCAATCCCAATGGGACAATCCCAGTGGAAAAAATTCCAATGGACCAATCCCAATGGAAAAATCCCAATGGACCAATCCCAGTGGGACAATCCAAATGGAAAAAAAGCCCAATGGAAAAATTCCAATGGGCCAATCCCAGTGGGACAATCCCAATGGAAAAATCTAAATGGACCAATCCCAATGGGACAATTCCAATGGAAAATTCTCAATGACCAATCCCAATGGAAAAGTCCCAGTGGACCAATCCCAATGGAAAAAATTCCAATGGGTCAATCCCAATGGAAAAATCCCAATGGGACAATCCCAATGGAAAAATCCCAATGGGCCAATCCCAGTGGGACAATCCAAATGGAAAAAATCCCAATGGACCAATCCCAGTGGCCAATCCCAATGGAAAAATCTCAATGGGCCAATCCCAGTGGGAAAATCCTAATGGAAAAAATCCCAATGGAAAAATCCCAATGGGCCAATCCCAATGGGACAATCCGATGGACCAATCCCAATGGAAAAATCCCAATGAAAAAATCCCAATGGGTCAATCCCAATGGACCAATCCCAGTGGGACAATCCCAGTGGAAAAAATTCCAATGGACCAATCCCAATGGAAAAATCTCAATGGGCCAATTCCAATGGAAAAATCCCAATGAAAAAATTCCAATGGGCCAATCCCAGTGGGCCAATCCAAATGGAAAAATTCCAATGGGCCAATCCCAGTGGGGCAATCCAAATGGAAAAAATTCCAATGGACCAATCCCAATGGAAAAATCCCAGTGGACCAATCCCAATGGAAAAATTCCAATGAAAAAATTCCAATGGGCCAATCCCAGTGGGACAATCCCAGTGGAAAAAATTCCAATGGACCAATCCCAATGGACCAATCCCAGTGGCCAATCCCAATGGGAAAATCCAAATGGAAAAATTCCAATGAAAAAATCCCAATGGAAAAATTCCAATGGGCCAATCCCAGTGGGACAATCCAAATGGAAAAAATTCCAATGGAAAAATCCCAATGGACCAATCCCAATGGAAAAATCCCAATGGAAAAATCCCAGTGAGAGCCTCAGCCCAGCACAGGAGCAGGGATGAGGATCCAGGAGAAATCTGGGATGGGAAAACCCCCCCATTCCCAACTCCGGGAATTCCGGGCAGGCCGCTCACGCTGTCGAAGAAGGGCCGGATGCGGATGGAGATGTGGAGCAGCATGGATTGCACGTCCCGCTCCTCCAGGTGATCCAGGATTTTGGAGAGGCTGGACATGGCCTCCAGCGCCAGCAGATTGTTGGGATCGTCCTTGTCGTCCATGCCGTGGAGCATGGAGGCCAGCAGCTGCGCCCCGTGCCGACGGATCTGCCGGAAAAACCGGGATCGAGGCTGGAAAACCGGGATACGGAGCACCGGGAGGGAGCTGGGGGGGCTCATCCCGGAGAAAAGCGGGATTGAGGAGATCCAGGGGGAGTTTGGGATCTGCTCCCATGGAAAAAGGGATGGGGAAAGAGGGAACAGCTCTAAATTGGGATTTTTGGGAATATTCCCTTGGAATCGAGGGTGAACAGGGTGCATCCATGGTTGGGATGGGAATGGGGGAATTCCCGGGAACGGCTGAGGGATCTGTTGGGGCTCATCCCGGAGAAAAGCGGGATTGAGGGGATCCAGGGGATTTTGGGATCTGCTCCCATGGAAAAAGGGATGGGGAAAGAGGGAACAGCTCTAAATTGGGATTTTTGGGAATATTCCCTTGGAATCGAGGGTGAACAGGGATTTGGTGGGTCCATGGTTGGGATGGGAATGGGGGAATTCCCGGGAATGGCTGAGGGATCTTGGGGGGCTCATCCCGGAGAAAAGCGGGATTGAGGAGATCCAGGGGAATCTGGGATCTGCTCCGTGGGAAAAAGGGATGGGGAAAGAGGGAACAGCTCCAAATTGGGATTTTTGGGAATATTCCCCTGGAATTGAGGGCAAACAGGGATTTGGTGGGTCCATGGTTGGGAATTCCCGGGAATGGCTGAGGGATCCTGGGGGATGATCCCGGAGAAAAGCGGGATTGAGGAGATCCAGGGGAATCTGGGATCTGCTCCCATGGAAAAAGGGATGGGGAAGGAGGGAACAGCTCCAAATTGGGATTTTTGGGAATATTCTCCTGGAATTGAGGGCAAACAGGGATTTGGTGGGTCCATGGTTGGGATGGGAATGGGGGAATTCCCGGGAACGGCTGAGGGATCCTGGGGGGCTCATCCCGGAGAAAAGCGGGATTGAGGAGATCCAGGGGGAGTTTGGGATCTGCTCCCAGGGAAAAAGGGATGGGGAAAGAGGGAACGGATCCAAATTGGGATTTTTGGGAATATTCCCCTGGAAAGGGCTGGAATTCTGGGATTTGGGGCCTCGGGAAGCAGGGCAGGGACTGAGGCCGAGAATTCCCGGGAGAAGCTGATCCCAGCTGGAATTCCTGCGGCTCCGGGAAATATTCCCAGAAAACGGGGCTGGGGAGGATCCCCCTGCTGGGAAAGGCTCCGGCACTCCCCAGGATTCCTGGGAATGGCTCTGGAAAATCGGGATTTTTAGGATTCGGAGCCTCCCGGTGCATCCCAATCCCTGGAGCTCCCTCCCCATCCCACAAAACCTCATCCCGATGTTTTGGAGGCAATTCCAACCCTCCCCTCTGGAAGTGGGAATCCATTCCCCGTGTCTCCAAATCCCAAATCCCAAATAATCCCCGGAGCTGCTCCCACCTTTTCCGGGGATCCCGAGGCCACGTTCCCGAGCCCCCGGAGCGCCAGGACCCGGACCAGGAGGCAGGAATCCTTCTCCAGAGCCGTCAGCGCCTCCAGGATCGGCTCCAGCAGCACCAGGTCGTTCACCACCTTGTGCCCGAGCAGCTGGAAAAGGGAAAAAATTCGGGATACGCCGGGAAAAACCCCCCGGATCGATGAGCGGGGAGCTGGAATTCCCGGGAAGAGCCGCGGTTGGAAAACTCTGGGATAATCCACAGGAAAACTCAGCCCAGGGTGGGATTTGGGGGGGCCTGGAATGGTTTTGAGGCAGGATTGGGGAAATTTGGGAATTTTTGGGAAGATTCGCACTCCAGAGAGACACTCTGGGCCTGGAATTTCCCCTCATCCTGCGGATCCGCCGGAATTCTCTTCTCCTTCTCCTCAGCTCCGGCTGGAATTTGAAACGCTCCAAGATCAGAGCACGCTTCGGATCCCGGGATGGGCTCCAGGAGCAGCGGGAATTTGGGATGGGGTTTGGATGGATGGATGGATCCATGGAAAATGGATGGATGGATGGATGGATTCATGGATGGATAATTGATCCATGGATGGATGATGGATGGATGGATGGATGATGGATGGATCCATGGATGGATGGATGGATGGATGGACGGATGGATCCATGGACAGATCCATGGGATGGATGGATGGATGGATGGATGAATGGATGGATCCATGGATGGATGGATTCATTGAGGGATTCATGGATGGATGGACGGATGGATCCATGGACAGATCCATGGGATGGATCCATGGATAGATGCATGGATGGATCCATGGATGGATAGGGATGGATAGGGATGGATGGATCCATGGATGGATGGATCCATGGATCCATGGATAGATCCATGGATGGATAGGGATGGATGGATGAATGCATCCATGGATCCATGGATGGATGGATGGATGGATCCACAGATGGATCCATGGATGGATAATTGATCCATGGATCCATGGATGGATGGATGGATCCATGGATGGATGGATAGATGGATGGATAGGCGGATGGATGATGGATCCATGGATGGATGATGAGGGGATGCATGGATTTATGGATGGATGGATGGATGGGTGGATCCATGGATGGATAGATGGATGGATGGATCCATGGATGAATTGATGGATGGATTGATGGATGGGTGGATCCATGGATGGATCCACAGATGGATCCATGGATGGATAATTGATCCATGGATGGATAATTGATCCATGGATGGATAATTGATCCATGGATCCATGGATGGATGGATGGATAATTGATCCATGGATGGATTCATGGAAGGATTCATGGATGGACTGATGGACAGATCCATGGATGGATAATTGATCCATGGATGGATTTATGGATGGATGGATGGATGGATCCATGGACAGATCCATGGATAGATCCATGGATCCATGGATGGATTGATGGATGGGTGGATCCATGGATGGATCCACAGATGGATCCATGGATGGATAATTGATCCATGGATGGATTCATGGAGGGATTCATGGATGGATCCATGGATGAATTGTTGGATGGGTGGATCCATGGATGGATCCACAGTTGGATCCATGGATGGATAATTGATCCATGGATCCATGGACAGATGGATGGATCCATGGAGGGCCGAGCAGCCGGACATTCCCACATTTCCCACTCACCTCGGCCAGGAAGGCGCTGCTGGTCACCCTCTGGCATTCCAAGGCGCTTCCCAGCACCGGGATCAGGCTCCGGACGATCGGCGGCAGCCGGGGCCCGCAGAGCCGAGCCATGGCCCTGGGCGGGAACAGCGCTCGGAATCCCGGGAATCCCGGGAATCCCGGAATCCCTGTGCCCGGGACAGACCCACAGGGAAGGATCTGGAGCATCCCGGACGCCCCATCCGGGTTTTCTTTGGGATGAGCCCCCCAAAAGTTGGATAATCCCAATGCCAACCCGGCGGTTATTCCCGGATTTTTTGGGATGGGGTTTTCCTGGTGATTTCCCGGGAATGTTGGGATGGGATGCACCAGGATACTCCGGGAATCCCAGGGATGCAGCAGGAAAAGGGAGTTTTCCATAGGGACCTTTGGAAGGGGATCTTTTCCATGGGATCCCATGGAAGTGGGGCAGGAATGGGGAACGATGGGAAACGCGGGATGGGTGGGAAATTGTGGGATCAGAGACATCGGGAATTCCGCAGTGGGATTGGAAACACCAGGAATTCCACACTGGGATTGGAAACATTGGGAATTCCGCAGTGGGATTGGAAACATCAGGAATTCCACACTGGGATTGGAGACATTGGGAATTCCACAGGGGATTGGAGACACTGGAATTCCATACTGGGATTGGAGACACTGGGAATTCCGCAGTGGGATTGTAGACATCGGGAATTCCACAAGGGATTGAAGACAGCAGGAATTCCACAATGGGATTGGAGACTCTGGGAATTCCGCAGTGGGATTACAGACATTGGAAATTCCACATTGGGATTGGAGACTCTGGAATTCCACACTGGCATTTGAAACACCGGAAATTCCACAGTGGGATTATAGACATTGGGAATTCCACACTGGGATTGGAAACATTGGGAATTTCACACTGGGATTGGAGACATCGGGAATTCTGCAGTAGGATTGGAGATTCTGGAATTCCACAGTGGGATTGGAGACACTGGAAATTCCACAGGGGATTGGAGACACTGGAATTCCGCAGTGGGATTGGAAACATCAGGAATTCCGCAGTGGGATTGGAAACACCGGAAATTCCACACTGGGATTGGAGACATCAGGAATTCCACACTGGGATTGAAGACACCGGAAATTCCATACTGGGATTGGAAACATTGGGAATTCCGCAGTGGGATTGGAAGCATCGGGAATTCTGCACTGGGATTGGAAACATTGGGAGTTCCGCAGTGGGATTTGAAACACTGGGAATTCCGCAGTGGGATTGGAAACATCGGGAATTCCACACTGGGATTGGAGACACTGGAATTCCACAGGGGATTGGAAACATTGGGAATTCCACAGTGGGATTATAGACATTGGGAATTCCACACTGGGATGGGTGACACTGGGAATTCCATTTTGGGATGGGAGACACTGGGAATTCCACACTGGGATGGGTGACACCGGGAATTCCATTTTGGGATCGGTGACACTGGGAATTCCACACTGGGATGGGTGACACTGGGAATTCCATACTGGGATGGGTGACAATGGGAATCCCATTTTGGGATGGGTGACACCGGGAATTCCACACTGGGATGGGTGACACTGGGAATTCCATTTTGGGATGGGTGACACCGGGAATTCCATTTTGGGATGGGTGACACCGGGAATTCCATACTGGGATGGGTGACACTGGGAATTCCATACTGGGATGGGTGACACTGGGAATTCCATACTGGGATTGGAAACACTGGGAATTCCATTTTGGGATGGGAGACACCGGGAATCCCATTTTGGGATGGGTGACACTGAGAATTCCATACTGGGATGGGTGACACTGAGAATTCCATACTGGGATAAATGACACCAGGAATCCCAGTTTGGGATGGGTGACACCGAGAATTCCACACTGGGATGGGTGACACCGGGAATTCCATACTGGGATGAATGACACCAGGAATCCCAGTCTGGGATCAGAGACACTGGGAATCCCATTTTGGGATGGGTGACACCGGGAATTCCACACTGGGATGGGTGACACTGGGAATTCCATACTGGGATGGGAGGCACTGGGAATTCCATACTGGGATGGGAGGCACTGGGAATCCCATTTTGGGATGGGTGACACCGGGAATTCCATTTTGGGATGGGTGACACTGGGAATTCCATTTTGGGATCAGAGACACCGGGAATCCCATTTTGGGATGGGTGACACTGGGAATTCCATACTGGGATGGGTGACACCGAGAATTCCATACTGGGATTGGAGACACCAGGAATTACGCACTGGAATTGGAAACATCGGGAATTCCACAGTGGGATTATAGACATTGGGAATTCCACAGTGGGATTTGAGACATCAGGAATTCCGCACTGGGACTGGAAACACTGGGAATTCCACAGTGGGATTGGAAACATCAGGAATTCCGCAGTGGGATTGGAAACATCGGGAATTCCGCAGGGGATTGGAGAGACTGGGAATTCCACACTGGCATTGGAGACACCAGGAATTCCACACTGGGATGGGTGACACTGGAATTCCACACTGGGATTGGAAACACTGGGAATTTCACACTGGGATGGGTGACACTGGAATTCCACACTGGGATCGGTGACACTGGAATTCCACACTGGGATTGGAAACACTGGGAATCCCATTTTGGGATGGGTGACACCGGGAATTCCATACTGGGATGGGTGACACTGGGAATTCCATTTTGGGATCAGAGACACTGGGAATTCCATACTGGGATCGATGACACTGGAATTCCACACTGGGATCGGTGACACTGGAATTCCACACTGGGATTGGAAACATTGTGAATTCCATTTTGGGATGGGAGACACCGGGAATTCCATACTGGGATCCAAGACACCAGGAATTCCACAGCGGTACCAACTTCCAGCTCCGGCTGCACCCACCCCTCCACATTCCCGGGAACAAAATGATCCCACCCTCCCCAAAATCCCCGGAATTCCCTGGAAGCGCCTCTGGAATTCCCTACCCGGCCAGGAGGGCGATTCCGTCGTGGTGCCGCTCGGGAATTTCCATCAGTTCCCAGCCCCCGGCGCTTCCCACGTCCCGGACGACGTCGTCGTTCCCGGCCCGCGCCAGCACCGCCTTCATCGTCTGCACGGCACAGCTGGAAAATTCGGGATTGGGATCGGGATGGGATCTGGGGTGCATTCGGGATTAGGGTCAAGATTGGGTCTGGAATTGGATCTGGGATTGGATCCAGATTCAGTTTGGGATTGGGTTTGGGATTGGGTTTGGGATTTGGAATTGAGATTGGATCTGCGGTTGGATTTGGGATTGGATCTGGGGATGGATCTGGGATTGGATCCGGAGTTGGATTCGGGATTTGGAATTGGGATTGGATCTGGGGTTGGATTTAGGATTGGATCCGGGGTTGGATTTGGGATTGGGATTGGATCTGGGATTTGGGTTTGGGTTTGGGATTGGATTTGGGATTGGATTTGGGACTGGATTTGGGATCGGATCTGGGGATGGATTTGGGATTGGGTTTGGGACTGGATTTGGGTTTGGATCTGGGGTTGGATTTGGATTCAGGATTGGATTTGGGATTAGGTTTGGGCTTGGATTTGGGATTGGGTTTGGGATTGGATTTGGGATTGGGTCTGGGATTGGATCTGGGGTTGGATTTGGATTCAGGATTGGATTTGGGATTAGGTTTGGTCTTGGATTTGGGATTGTGTTTGGGATTGGATTTGGGATTGGGTTTGGGATCGGATCTGGAATTGGATTTGGGATGAGGTTTGGGATTGGCTCTGGAATTGGATTTGGGATGAGGTTTGGGATTGGATCTGGGGTTGGATTTGGGATTGGGATTGGATCTGGAATTGGATTTGGGATGAGTTTTGGGATTGAATTTGGGTTTGGGATTGGATCCTGAATGAGTTTAGGACTGGATCTGGGACTGGGTTTGGGATTGGCTACAGGATTGGATTTGGGATTAGGTTGATTGGATTTGGGATTAGGTTTGGGAATCAATTTGGGATTGGATTTGAGTTGGATTCAGGATTGGATTCGGGACTGGATTCAGGATTTGGGATTGGATCTGGGACTGAGATTGGATTTGGGATTAGGTTTTGGATTGGATTTGGGATTAGAGTGATTGGATTTAGGATTAGGTTTGGGATTGGATTTGGGTTGGATTTGGAATTAGATTGATTGGGTTTGGGATTGGATCTGGGGTTGGATTTGGATTCAGGATTGGATTTGGGATTAGGTTTGGGCTTGGATTTGGGACTGTGTTTGGGATTGGATTTGGGATTGGGTTTGGGATTGGATCTGGGGTTGGATTTGGGATGAGGTTTGGGATTGGATCTGGAATTGGATTTGGGATGAAGTTTGGGATTGAATTTGGGTTTGGGATTGGATCCTGAATGAGTTTAGGACTGGATCTGGGACTGGGTTTGGGATTGGCTACAGGATTGGATTTGGGATTGGATCCGGGGTTGGATTTGGGATTGGGATTGAATCTGGGATTTGGGTTTGGGTTTGGGATTGGATTTGGGATTAGGTTTGGGACTGGATTTGGGACTTGGACCTGGGGTTAGATTTGGGTTTGGGATTGGATCCGGGGTTGGATTTGGGATTGGGTTTGGGACTGGATTTGGGATTGGATCTGGGGTTGGATTGGGATTGGGATTGGATCTGTGAGTTGGATTTGGGTTTGGGATTGGATTTAGGATTGGATTTGGGACTGGATTTGGGATCGGATCTGGGGATGGATTTGGGATTGGGATTGGATCTGGGGTTGGATTTGGGATTGGGTTTGGGACTGGATTTGGGTTTGGATCTGGGATTGGGTTTGGAACTGGATTGAGGATCGGATCTGGGGTTGGATTTGGGATTGGGATTGGATCTGGAATTGGATTTGGGATGAGTTTTGGGATTGAATTTGGGTTTGGGATTGGATCCTGAATGAGTTTAGGACTGGATCTGGGACTGGGTTTGGGATTGGCTACAGGATTGGATTTGGGATTAGGTTGATTGGATTTGGGATTAGGTTTGGGAATCAATTTGGGATTGGATTTGAGTTGGATTCAGGATTGGATTTGGGACTGGATTCGGGATTAGGGATTGGATCTGAGACTGGGATTGGATTTGGGATTAGGTTTTGGATTGGATTTGGGATTAGATTTATTGGATTTAGGATTAGGTTTGGGATTGGATTTGGGTTGGATTTAGGATTAGATTGATTGGATTTGGGATTGGGTCTGGGATTGGCTTCGGGATTGGATTTGGGATTAGGTTTGGGCTTGGATTTGGGCCTGTGTTTGAGATTGGATTTGGGATTGGATCTGGGGTTGGATTTGGGATTGGTTTGGGATTGGATCTGGGGTTGGATTTGGATTCGGGATTGGATTTGGGATTAGGTTTGGGCTTGGATTTGGGACTGTGTTTGGGATTGGATTTGGGATTGGGTTCGGGATTGGATTTGGGATTAGATTGATTGGATTTGGGATTAGGTTTGGTCTTGGATTTGGGACTGTGTTTGGGATTGGATTCGGGACTGGATTTGGGATTGGATCTGGGGTTGGATTTGGGACTGTGTTTGGGCTTGGATTCGGGATTGGGTTTGGGCTTGGATTCGGGATTGGGTTTGGGATTGGATCTGGGGTTGGATTTGGATTCGGGATTGGATTCCGGACTGGATCTGGGCCTGGATTTCGAATCGGATTCGGTTTGGCTCCGGCTCCATCCGGAATATCCCGAGGGAATTCCGTGCCCGGGCACGCCGGGAATGCCGGAGTTGGAGCCGTCCCAGTGCACCGGGAACGGCATCCAAGACAAAAAAACCGGGAAGGGAAAAAACTCCGGAGCTACTTGAAGGAATTTTTTTTTCCTGGAACGAACGATTTATGGGGTTGGGATTGTTTTGCCGCGGAGCAACATCTGGAAAAGATCCGTTATCCCGTCAAAACACCGGGAAGGGGAGCCAGGGATAAATCCCGGCTGTCGGAACGGGGATCCCACACACGAAGGAAATCCGGGATTCGGGATTGGAGCCGCTGTCCCACATCCCCCCATCGGGATTTGTCCCGTTCCCCCGGAATTTGTGGGGTGGGAGAACCCCAAGGATTCCAGGACAGCCTCTGGAATGCTGGAAATTTGGGAATAACGAGGGAAAACGGATCCCAAACACGGGAGTTGCTCTGGAAAACATTCCCGGGAATCTGGAGCATCCCTGGATTCCCAGTTGGACGGAATGGGACCATCCCAGAGGTTTTCCAACCTCGGCCATTCCATGATTCCGAAGGATCCAGGATCCCACGGGGAAAACCCATGGAAGAGGCCCAAAGGTGGATTCCCGACGGAAAATCCGGGAGTTTTCCCAAAAAAAATCCCCCAGAGGAGCTGGAAAGATCCCGGTGGAGCTTTCCCTGTTTTGGATGGGCCAGGGAAAAGTGGGACAAGGAATGGGAAGGGCAGAATTCCGGGAAAAAAACCAAACCTGGAGTGCCGGAGAGGCCTCGGAGCCTCCGGGATTAATTAAAGATTAATTAAGGAAATCCCGGAATGCGGGAATGGGGTGGGAATTAAGGATGATCCCATTCCCACGGGACAATTCCAGGGATGTCCCAGCTGGTTTGGCATGGAGGGAATTTTGGGATCAGCCCATTCCCAGTTTTTCCTTGGGATGCTTCCTGCTATTCCAGGACGGGACAATTCCCCTCGGATTCCCTGGAATTCACTCTCCCACTCCTCCCACAGAATTCCCCTTTTCCCCCCAGAATTCCTCGTTTTCCCCACAGATATCCTTTTTCCCCCCAAAATTCCCACTTTTCCCCAGGGAATTCCCGCACTTTCCTCACAAAATTCCCACAAAATTCCTCCTTTTCTCCACAGAATTCCCACTTCCCCCAGGGAATTCCTCTTTTCCCCATAAAATCCCACTTTTCCCCCCACAATTCCCCCTTTTCCTCCCAAAATTCCCACTTTCCCCCCCGAATTCCCACTTTTCCCCATGGAAATCCCCCTTCCCCCCCCCCAGAATTCCCACTTTTCCCTTCACAATTCCCACTTCTCCCCACAGAATTCCCATTTCCCCCCCCACAATTCCCCATTTTCCCCCAAGAATTCCCCCTTTTCCCCCCACAATTCCCACTTTTCCCCCAGAATTCCCGCTTTTCCCCGCACAATTCCCTTTTCCTCCACAGAATTCCCACTTTTCCCCCAGAATTCCCACTTTTCACTGCAGAATTCCCCCTTTTCTACATAGAATTCCCACTTTTCCCCCCACAATTCCCCATTTCCCCCACCACAATTCCCATTTCCCCCCCAGAATTCCCCATTTTCCCCACGGAATTCCCACTTTCCCCCCAGAATTCCCACTTTTCACTGCAGAATTCCCACTTTTCCCCCCAGAATTCCCAATTTTCCCCCACAGAATTCCCACTTTTCCCCAGGGAATTTCTCTTTTCCTCACACAATTCTCCCTTTTCCCCCTGGAATTCCCCATTTTCCCCACGGATTTCCCACTTTTCCTCCAGAATTCCCACTTTTCACTGCAGAATTCCCCATTTCCCCCCCAGAATTCCCACTTTTCCCCCCCCAATTCCCACTTTTCCCCCAGAATTCCCGCTTTTCCCCCCAGAATTCCCACTTTCCCCCCACAATTCCCATTTCCCCCCGGAATTCCTGCTTTTCCCCCCAGAATTCCCATTTCCCCCCGGAATTCCCATTTCTCCCCACAGAATTCCTTTTTCCCCCCACAATTCCCCATTTCCCCCAGAATTCCCACTTTTCCCTGCACAATTCCCTTTTCCTCCACAGAATTCCCCCTTTTCTCCATGGAATTCCCCCTTTTTCCCAGGGAATTCCCATTTTTCCTTTAGAATTCCCACTTTTCACCGCAGAATTCCCCATTTCCCCCCCAGAATTCCCCATTTTCCCCACAGAATTCCCCATTTTCCCCCCAGAATTCCCCATTTTCCCCCCAGAATTCCCCATTTTCCCCTCACAATTCCCACTTTTCCCCCCCCCAATTCCCCATTTCCCCTCCAGAATTCCCATTTCCCCCCGGAATTCCCATTTCTCCCCACAGATTTCCCTTTTCCCCCCACAATTCCCCATTTCCCCCCAGAATTCCCACTTTCCCCCCAGAATTCCCACTTTTCCCCCAGAATTCCCGCTTTTCCCTGCACAATTCCCTTTTCCTCCACAGAATTCCCCATTTTCCCCCCTAGAATTCCCATTTCCCCCCGGAATTCCCCATTTTCCCCCCAGAATTCCCACTTTTCCCCCAGAATTCCCGCTTTTCCCCGCACAATTCCCTTTTCCTCCACAGAATTCCCACTTTTCCCCTACAATTCCCACTTTTCACTGCAGAATTCCCATTCCCACCCAGAATTCCCACTTTTCCACCCCCAATTCCCCATTTCCCCCCCCAATTCCCCCATTTCCCCCCCCAGTTCCCCATTACCCCCCCACAATTCCCCATTTCCCCCCAGAATTCCCATTTCCCCCCCCAGAATTCCCACTTTTCCCCACACAAATTCCCATTTCCCCCACAGAATTCCCATCTCCCCCCAGAATTCCCACTTTTCACTGCAGAATTCCCATCTCCCCCCAGAATTCCCACTTTTCACTGCAGAATTCCCATTTCCCCCCCAGAATTTCCATTTCCCCCCCACAATTCCCCATTTCCTCCCCACAATTCCCACTTTTCCCTCCAGAATTCCCCATTTTCCCCACGGATTTCCCCATTTCCCCCCCAGAATTCCCACTTTTCCCCCAGAATTCCCACTTTTCACTGCAGAATTCCCCCTTTTCTACACAGAATTCCCACTTCTCCCCACAGAATTCCCTTTACCCCCCCAGAATTCCCATTTCCCCCCAGAATTCCCCATTTTCCCCACAGAATTCCCACTTTTCACTGCAGAATTCCCCCATTTCCCCCCCACAATTCCCATTTTCCCCACAGAATTCCCATTTCCCCCCAGAATTCCCATTTCCCCCCAGAATTCCCACTTTTCCCCCCAGAATTCCCACTTCTCCCCACAGAATCCCCATTTCCCCCCCGAATTCCCCATTTCCCCCTCAGAATTCCCCATTTTCCCCACGGAATTCCCACTTTCCCCCCTGGAATTCCTGCTTTTCCCCGCACAATTCCCTTTTCCTCCACAGAATTCCCACTTTTCCCCCAGAATTCCCATTTCCCCCCACAATTCCCCATTTTCCCCACAGAATTCCCACTTTTCCCCCAGAATTCCCATTTCCCCCCACAATTTCCCACTTCCCCCTCCACAATTCCCCATTTCCCCCCCCAATTCCCACTTTTCCCCCCAGAATTCCCTATTTCCCCCCAGAATTCCCATTTCCCCCCCTCAGAATTCCCATTTCCCCCCGGAATTCCCCATTTTCCACCCACAATTCCCACTTTTCCCCCCACAATTCCCACTTTTCCCCCCCAGAATTCCCATTTCCCCCCCACAATTCCCCATTTCCCCCCCAGAATTCCCAATTTTCCCCCCACAATTTCCCATTTCCCCCCCCAATTCCCACTTTTTCCCCCAGAATTCCCACTTTTCCCCCCAACAATTCCCACTTTCCCCCCCCAATTCCCCATTTCCCTCCCCAATTCCCATTTCCCCACAGAATTTCCACTTTTCCCCCCACAATTCCCACTTTTCCCCTCACAATTCCCTTTTCCCCACAGAATTCCCAATTTTTCCCCCACACAAGTCCCCATTTCCTCCCAGAATTCCCACTTTTCCACCCACAATTCCCCGTTTTCCCCATAGAATTCCCTATTTCCCCCCAGAATTCCCATTTCCCCCCCTCAGAATTCCCATTTCCCCCCGGAATTCCCGCTTTTCCCCGCACAATTTCCTTTTTCCCCCAGAATTCCCACTTTGCCCCCAGAATTCCCACTTCTCCCTTCACAATTCCCACTTTTCCCCCCAGAATTCCGACTTTTCCCCACACAATTCCCCATTTCCCCCCCAGAATTCCCATTTTCCCCACAGAATTCCCCATTTTCCCCACAGAATTCCCCATTTTCCCCACGGATTTCCCACTTTTCCTCCAGAATTCCCATTTCCCCTCAGAATTCCCATTTCCCCCCCCCAATTCCCACTTTTCCCCCCACAATTCCCACTTTTCCCCCAGAATTCCCACTTTTCACTGCAGAATTCCCCCTTTTCTACACAGAATTCCCACTTTTCCCCAAAGAATTCCCCATTTTCCCCACAGAATTCCCACTTTTCACTGCAGAATTCCCATTTCTCCCCAGAATTCCCCATTTCCCCCCAGAATTCCCACTTTTCCCCCCGGAATTCCCGCTTTTCCTTATGGATTTCCTCTTTTCTCCACAAAATCCCACTTTTCCCCCCCAGAATTCCCCATTTCCCCCCCACAATTCCCCATTTCCCTCCCCCAATTCCCCATTTCTCCCCCAGAATTCCCATTTTCCCCCCAGAATTCCCCCTTTTCCCCCCACAATTCCCACTTTTCCCCCCGGAATTCCCCCTTTTTCCCCCCAGAATTCCCCCTTTTCCCCAGGGAATTGCCATTTCCCCCCCAGAATTTCCCCTTTTTCCCCCTGGAATTCCCATTTTCCCCCCGGATTTCCCACTTTTCCCCCACAATTCCCATTTTCCCCACAGAATTCCCACTTTTCCCCAGGGAATTTCTCTTTTCCTCACACAATTCCCCCTTTTCTCCACGGAATTCCCCCTTTTTCCCAGGGAATTCCCATTTTTCCTTTAGAATTCCCACTTTTCACCGCAGAATTCCCACTTTTCCCCTCACAATTTCCCATTTCCCCCCCAGAATTCCCATTTCCCCCCCACAATTCCCCATTTCCCCACCCAATTCCCCATTTTCCCCCCACAATTCCCACTTTTCCCCCCCAATTCCCACTTTTCCCCCCACAATTCCCCGTTTTCCCCACAGAATTCCCTATTTCCCCCCAGAATTCCCAATTTTCCCCATGGAAATCCTACTTTTCCCCTCACAATTCCCACTTCTCCCCACAGAATTCCCATTTCCCCCCCAGAATTCCCTTTTCCCCCCACAATTCCCACTTTTCCCCCCACAATTCCCACTTTTTCCCCCACAATTCCCCATTTTCCCCCCAGAATTCACCATTTTCCCCACAGAATTCCCATTTCCCCCCAGAATTCCCATTTTCCCCCCGGAATTCCCATTTCCCCCCATAATTCCCACTTTCCCCCCGGAATTCCCATTTCCCCCCAGAATTCCCACTTTTCCCCCCGGAATTCCCCCTTTTCCCCCCACAATTCCCACTTTTCCCCCAGAATTCCCGCTTTTCCCCTCACAATTCCCTTTTCCTCCACAGAATTCCCACTTCTCCCCCCAGAATTCCCACTTTTCCCCCCAGAATTCCCACTTTCCCCCCCACAATTCCCACTTTTCCCTTCACGATTCCCACTTCTCCCCCCCCAGTTCCCCATTTCCCCCCACAATTCCCACTTCCCCCCCCCCAAAATTCCCATTTTCCCCCCCAATTCCCCATTTTCCCCCCCAGAATTCCCACTTTCCCCCCGGAATTCCCGCTTTTCCGCACCTGCCGGGCTGGGGCTGGTTCCTGTCCCGTCCCCGCAGGGATTTGGGGAGCCGGATCCCCACGGAGCCGCCGAGGCGCAGCAGGAGAACCTGGAAAAGCTCCGGGAATCGCTCCTGGAGCGCCGCCGCCGCCTCCGGAGCCGCCGCCAGCTCCGCCAGGGCGCGCGTGGCCTGCCCGGAAAAACGGGAATCGCCGGGAAAAGGCCGGAAAAACGGGAATTCCGGCCCCTTCCCCGCCGCAGAACCGGAATTTCCCGATGGAATTCACAGGGATTTGGGGTTTTTACTGATGGAATTCCCACGGATTTGGGATTTCCTCCCACGGATTTGGAGTTTTCTCCCAGGGATTTGGGATTTTCATGATGGAATTCCCACGGACTTGGGATTTTCATTATGGAATTCCCAGGGATTTGGTATTTTCATTATGGAATTTCAACAGATTTGGGGTTTTCCTGATGGAATTCCCATTGATTTGGGGTTTTTACTGATGGAATTCCCACGGATTTGGGGTTTTCTCCCATGGATTTAGGGTTGTCTCCCATGGATTTGGGATTTTCATGATGGAATTCCCAGGGATTTGGGTTTTTTACTGATGGAATTCCCAGGGATTTGGGGTTTTCCCTGATGGAATTCCCAGGGATTTGGGTTTTTTACTGATGGAATTCCCAGGGATTTGGGTTTTTTACTGATGGAATTCCCAGGGATTTGGGGTTTTCTCCCACAGATTTGGGATTTTCCTAATGGAATTCCCACGGATTTGGGGTTTTCTCCCAGGGATCTGGGATTTTTCCTGATGGAATTCCCACAGACTTGGGGTTCTCTCCCATGGATTTGAGATGTTCCTGATGGAATTCCCATGGATTTGGGGTTTTTCCTGATGGAATTCCCAGGGATTTGGGGTTTTTACTGATGGAATTCCCATGGATTTGGGTTTTTTTTCCCATGGATTTGGGATTTTCCTGATGGAATTCCCATGGATTTGGGGGTTTCCTGATGGAATTCCCATGGATTTGGGATTTTCCTGATGGAATTCCCATGGATTTGGGAGTTTCCTGATGGAATTCCCATGGATTTGGGGTTTTCCCGATGGAATTCCCAGGGATTTGGGATTTTACTGATGGAATTCCCATGGATTTGGGGTTTTCTCCCATGGATTTGGGATTTTCATTATGGAATTCCCACAGATTTGGGGTTTTCTCCCACAGATTTGGGATTTTCTCCCACAGATTTGGGATTTTCCTGATGGAATTCCCATGGATTTGGGGTTTTTTCCCACGGATTTGGGATTTTCCCGATGGAATTCCCATGGATTTGGGGTTCTCTCCCACGGATTTGGGGTTTTCTCCCATGGATTTGGGGTTTTCCTGATGGAATTCCCATGGATTTGGAGTTTCCTCCCACGGATTTGGGGTTTTCCTGATGGAATTCCCATGGATTTGGGGGTTTCTCCCACCGATTTGGGGTTCTCTCCCATGGATTTGGGGTTTTCCCGATGGAATTCCCAGGGATTTGGGGTTTTTACTGATGGAATTCCCATGGATTTGGGGTTCTCTCCCATGGATTCGGGGTTTTCCTGATTGAATTTTTTGAGGAATTTTGTGGGAATTTTTGGGGGGATTCCATGGGATTTTCTTGGGGAATTTCATGGGAGTTGTTTGTTAATTCCATCGGAATTTTTTTAGGAATTCCACAGGAATTTTTGGGAATTCCGCAGGAAAGTTTTGTGGAATTCTTTGGGAATTTTTGGGAATTTTTTGAGGAATCTTTGGGAATCTTTTTGGGGAATTTTCGGAGGGATTCCACGGGAACTTTGGGGAGTTTTTTGGGAATTCCATGGGAATTTTTTGAGGAATCTTTGGGAATTTTTTTGAATGTTTTGAGAAATTCCACAGGAACTTGTGGGAATTTTTGGGAATTCCGTGGGAATTTTTGGGAATTCCGTGGGAATTTTTGGGAATTTTTTGAGGAATCTTTGGGAATCTTTTTGGGGAATTTTCGGAGGGATTCCATGGGAATTTCAGGGATTTTTTTGGGAATTCCATGGGAACTTTGGGGATTTTTTTGGGAATTCCATGGGAATTTTGGGGAGTTTTTTGGGAATTCCATGGGAATTTTGGGGGAATTTTGGGGAGTTTTTTGGGAATTCCACGGGAATTTTGGGGTAATTTTGTGAGGACTATTTCTTTGGGAATTTTGTGGATTTTTGGGAATTCCATGGGAAATTTTGGGAATTTTTTGGGAATTACATGGGAATTTTGGGGGAATTTTTTGAGGACTATTTTTTTGGGAATTCTTGGGATTTTTGGGAATTCCATGGCAATTTCGGGGTAATTTTTTGAGGACGATTTTTTTGGGAATTTTGGGGATTTTTTTGGGAATTCCGTGGGAACTCTGGGGAGTTTTTTGGGAATTCCATGGGAATTTTGGGGAGTTTTTTGGGCATTCCATGGGAATTCCATGGGAATTTTGGGGATTTTTTTGGGAATTCCATGGGAATTTTGGGGGAATTTTGGCGAGTTTTTTGGGATTTTTTTGGGGAATTTTGGGAGTTTTTTGGGAATTGCACGGGAACTTTGGGGTAATTTTTTGAAGACGATTTTTTGGAAATTTTGTGGATTTTTTTGGGAATTCCATGGGAATTTTGGGGGAATTTTGGGGGAATTTTGGGGAGTTTTTTGGGAATTCCATGGGAATTTTGGGGGAATTTTGGGAGGTTTTTTGGGAATTCCATGGGAACTTTGGGGATTTTTTTGGGAATTCCATGGGAATTTTGGGGATTTTTTTGGGAATTCCATGGGAATTTTGGGGGAATTTTTTGCGGACGATTTTTTTTGGAATTTTGGGGATTTTTTTGGGAATTCCATGGGAATTTTGGGGATTTTTTTGGAAATTCCATGGGAACTTTGGGGATTTTTTTGGGAATTCCATGGGAATTTTGGGGGAATTTTGGGGAGATTTTTGGGAATTCCATGGGAATACCATGGGAATTTTGGGGATTTTTTTGGGAATTCCATGGGAACTTTGGGGTAATTTTTTGAGGAGGATTTTTTGGGGAATTTTGGGGATTTTTTCAGGAATTGCGCAGGAACTTTGGGGTAATTTTTTAAGGACTATTTTTTGGGAATTCCATGGGAATTTTGGGGGAATTTCTGGGAGTTTTTGGGAATTCCGCAGGAACATTTTGGGGAATTCTTGGGATTTTTTTGGGAATTCCGTGGGAATTTTGGGGGAATTTTGGGGAGTTTTTTGGGATTTTTTTGGGGAATTTTGGGAGTTTTTTGGGGTAATTTTTTGGGAACTTTGGGGTAATTTTTTGAGGAGGATTTTTTGGGAATTCCGTGGATTTTGGGGCACTCACGGCCAGGGGCAGGGCGGTGGCCACGCGCCCGGCCGGGCTCTCCTGGAAGGGAATTCCGCAGGAACTTTGGGGGAATTTTTTGAGGATGATTTTTTTTGGGAATTTTGGAGATTTTTTGGGGAATTCCATGGGAATTCTGGGGATTTTTTTGGGGAATTCCATGGGAATTTTGGGGATTTTTTTGGGAGTTCCGCAGGAACTTTGGGGTAATTTTTTGAGGAGGATTTTTTGGGAATTTTGGGGATTTTTTCAGGAATTCCGCAGGACCTTTGGGGTAATTTTTTGAGGACTATTTTTTGGGAATTCCATGGGAATTTTGGGGGAATTTCTGGGAGTTTTTGGGAATTCCGCAGGAACATTTTGAGGAATTCTTGGGATTTTTTTGGGAATTCCATGGGAATTTTGGGGGAATTTTGGGGAGTTTTTTGGGAATTCCATGTGAATTCCATGGGAATTTTGGGGACTTTTTTGAGAATTCCATGGGAATTTTGGGGAGTTTTTTGGGAATTCCACGGGAATTTTGGGCTAATTTTGTGAGGACTATTTCTTTGGGAATTTTGTGGATTTTTGGGAATTCCATGGGAACTTTGGGGAATTTTTTGGGAATTATGTGGGAATTTTGGGGTAATTTTTTGAGGACGATTTTTTGGGGAATTTTGGGGATTTTTTCAGGAATTGCGCGGGAACTTTGGGGTAATTTTTTGAGGAGGATTTTTTGGGAATTTTGGGGATTTTTTCAGGAATTCCGCAGGACTTTTGGGGTAATTTTTTGAGGACTATTTTTTGGGAATTCCATGGGAATTTTGGGGGAATTTCTGGGAGTTTTTGGGAATTCCGCAGGAACATTTTGGGGAATTCTTGGGATTTTTTTGGGAATTCCATGGGAATTTTGGGGTAATTTTGGGGATTTTTTTGGGAATTCCGCAGGAACTTTGGGGTAATTTTTTGAGGAGGATTTTTTGGGAATTGTGTGGATTTTTCTGGGAATTCCATGGGAATTTTGGGGGAATTTTGGGGAGTTTATTGGGAATTGCACAGGATTTTTGGGGGAATTTTGATGAGTTTTTTTGGGGAATTCCATGGGAATTTTGGGGGAATTTTGGGGCGTTTTTTGGGAATTCCATGGGAATTTTGGGGATTTTTTTGGGAATTCCATGGGAATTTTTGGGATTTTTTTGGGAATTCCATGGGAATTTTGGCGGAATTTTGGGGAGTTTTTTGGGAATTCCACAGGAATTTTGGGGGAATTTTGGGGAGTTTTTTGGGAATTGCGCAGAACTTTTGGGGTAATTTTGGGGAGTTTTTTGGGAATTCCACAGGAACTTTGGGGTAATTTTGGGGATTTTTTTGGGAATTCCATGGGAATTTTGGGGGAATTTCTGGGAGTTTTTTGGGAATTCCATGGGAATTTTGGGGATTTTTTTGGGAATTCTATGGGAACTTTGGGGATTTTTTTGGGAATTCCATGGGAATTCTGGGGATTTTTTTGGGAATTCCATGGGAATTTTGGGTATTTTTTTGGGAATTCCATGGGAATTTTGGGGGAATTTTGGGGGAATTTTGGGGTAATTTTGGGGATTTTTTTTGGTGGAATTTCATGGGAATTTTGGGGGAATTTTGGGGATTTTTCTGGGAATTGCACAGGAATTTTGGGGTAATTTGGGGGATTTTTTTGGGAATTTCGCGGGAACTTTGGGGGAATTTTGGGGATTTTTTCGGGAATTCCGCAGGAACTTTGGGGTAATGTTTTGAGGAGGATTTTTTGGGAATTGTGTGGATTTTGGGGCACTCACGGCCAGCGGCAGGGCGGTGGCCACGCGCCCGGCCGGGCTCTCCTGGAAGGGAATTCCACGGGAACTTTGGGGGAATTTTTTGAGGATGATTTTTTTTGGGAATTTTGGAGAGTTTTTGGGGAATTCCATGGGAATTTTGGGGAGTTTTTTGGGAATTCCATGGCAATTTTGGGGTAATTTTGTGAGGACTATTTCTTTGGGAATTTTGTGGATTTTTGGGAATTCCATGGGAATTTTGGGGATTTTTTTGGGAATTCCACAGGACTTTTGGGGGAATTTTTGAGGACTATTTTTTTGGGAATTTTGGGGATTTTTTTTAGGAATTCCATGGGAATTTTGGGGGAATTTGGGGGAGTTTTTTGAGAATTCCATGGGAATTTTGGGGATTTTTTGGGAATTCCATGGGAATTTTGTGGGAATTTCTGGGAGTTTTTGGGAATTCCGCAGGAACATTTTGGGGAATTCTTGGGATTTTTTTGGGAATTCCGTGGCAATTTTGGGGATTTTTTTGGGAATTCCATGGGAATTTTGGGGGAATTTTTTGCGGACGATTTTTTTGGGAATTTTGGGGATTTTTTTGGGAATTCCATGGGAATTCTGGGGATTTTTTTGGGAATTCCATGGGAATTTTGGGGGAATTTCTGGGAGTTTTTTGAGAATTCCGCAGGAACTTTGGGGATTTTTTTGGGAATTCCATGGGAATTTTTGGGATTTTTTTGGGGAATTTCTGGGAGTTTTTTGGGAATTCCGCAGGAACTTTGCGGTAATTTTCTGAGGAGGATTTTTTGGGAATTCCGTGGATTTTGGGGCACTCACGGCCAGGGGCAGGGCGGTGGCCACGCGCCCGGCCGGGCTCTCCTGGAAGGGAATTTCGCGGGAATTTTGGGGGAATTTTTTGAGGATGATTTTTTTCGGGAATTTTGGAGATTTTTTGGGGAATTCCATGGGAATTTTGGGGGAATTTTGGGGCGTTTTTTGGGAATTCCATGGGAATTTTGGGGATTTTTTTGGGAATTCCATGGGAATTTTGTGGATTTTTTTGGGAATTCCATGGGAACTTTGGGGAATTTTTTGGGAATTATGTGGGAATTTTGGGGTAATTTTTTGAGGACGATTTTTTGGGGAATTTTGGGGATTTTTTCAGGAATTGCGCAGGAACTTTGGGGTAATTTTTTGAGGAGGATTTTTTGGGGAATTTTGGGGATTTTTTCAGGAATTCCGCAGGACTTTTGGGGTAATTTTTTGAGGACTATTTTTTGGGAATTCCATGGGAATTTTGGGGGAATTTCTGGGAGTTTTTGGGAATTCCATGGGAATTTTGGGGGAATTTTGGGGATTTTTTTGGGAATTCCATGGGAATTTTGGGGGAATTCTGGGGAATTTTTCGGGAATTCCGCGGGAACTTTGGGGTAATTTTTTGAGGAGGATTTTTTGGGAATTGTGTGGATTTTGGGGCACTCACGGCCAGCGGCAGGGCGGTGGCCACGCGCCCGGCCGGGCTCTCCTGGAAGGGAATTCCGCGGGAACTTTGGGGGAATTTTTTGAGGATGATTTTTTTGGGGAATTTCGGGGATTTTTTTGGGGAATTCCATGGGAATTTTGGGGGAATTTTGGGGAGCTTTTTGGGAATTCCATGGGAATTTTGGGGGAATTTTGGGGAGTTTTTTGGGAATTCCATGGGAATTTTGGGGTAATTTTGGGGATTTTTTTAGGAATTCCATGGGAACTTTGGGGTAATTTTTGGGGGAATTTTGGGGAGTTTTTTGGGAATTCCATGGGAATTTTGGAGATTTTTTGGGGAATTCCATGGGAATTTTGGGGGGATTTTGGGGCGTTTTTTGGGAATTCCATGGGAATTTTGGGGGAATTTTGGGGGAATTTTGGGGAGTTTTTTGGGAATTCCATGGGAATTCCATGGGAATTTTGGGGATTTTTTTGGGAATTCCATGGGAATTTTGGGGTAATTTTGGGGATTTTTTTTTGTGGAATTTCATGGGAATTTTGGGGGAATTTTGGGGATTTTTCTGGGAATTCCATGGGAATTTTGGGAGTTTTTTGGGGTAATTTTTTGAGGAGGATTTTTTGGGAATTGTGTGAACTTTGGGGCACTCACGGCCAGGGGCAGGGCGGTGGCCACGCGCCCGGCCGGGCTCTCCTGGAAGGGAATTCCGCGGGAACTTTGGGGTAATTTTGATGAGTTTTTTTGGGAATTCCGCAGGAACTTTGGGGTAATTTTCTGAGGAGGATTTTTTGGGAATTCCGTGGATTTTGGGGCACTCACGGCCAGGGGCAGGGCGGTGGCCACGCGCCCGGCCGGGCTCTCCTGGAAGGGAATTCCGCGGGAACTTTGGGGGAATTTTTTGAGGATGATTTTTTTTGGGAATTTTGGAGATTTTTTGGGGAATTCCATGGGAATTTTGGGGGAATTTTGGGGAGTTTTTTGGGAATTCCATGGGAATTTTGGGGATTTTTTTGGGAATTCCATGGGAATTTTGGGGCGTTTTTTGGGAATTCCATGGGAATTTTGGGGATTTTTTTGGGAATTCCATGGGAATTTTGGGGAGTTTTTTTGGGAATTCCATGGGAATTTTGGGGATTTTTTGGGAATTCCGTGGGAATTTTGGGGGAATTTTGGGGAGTTTTTTGGGAATTGCGCAGGACTTTTGGGGTAATTTTTTGAGGACTATTTTTTTTGGGAATTCCGTGGGAATTTTGGGGGAATTTTGGGGGAAATTTGGGGGAATTCCGTGGGAATTTTGGGGAGTTTTTTGGGAATTCCGCAGGAATTTTGGGGTAATTTTTTGATTACTATTTTTTTGGGAATTTTGGGGATTTTTTTGGAAATTTTGGGGATTTTGGGGGAATTTTGGGGGAATTTTGGGGAGTTTTTTGGGAATTCCATGGGAATTTTGGGGAGTTTTTTGGGGAATTCTGCGGGAATTTTGGGGATTTTTCTGGGAATTCCGTGGGAATTTTGGGGGAATTTTTGGGAGTTTTTTGGGAATTCCATGGGAATTTTTGGGATTTTTTTGGGGAATTTTGGGAGTTTTTTGGGGTAATTTTTTTGGAACTTTGGGGTAATTTTTTGAGGATGATTTTTTGGGAATTTTGTGGATTTTTGGGGAATTCCGCGGGAACTTTGTGGTAATTTTTTGAGGACTATTTTTTTTGGGAATTGTGTGGATTTTGGGGCACTCACGGCCAGGGGCAGGGCGGTGGCCACGCGCCCGGCCGGGCTCTCCTGGAAGGGAATTCCGCGGGAACTTTGGGGGAATTTCGGGGATTTTTTTGGGAATTCCATGGGAATTTTGTGGTAATTTTTTGAGGAGGATTTTTTGGGAATTGTGTGGATTTTGGGGCACTCACGGCCAGGGGCAGGGCGGTGGCCACGCGCCCGGCCGGGCTCTCCTGGAAGGGAATTTCGCGGCTCAGCCGCTCCAGGAGCTGCTCCAGGACCAGCGGGGTCAGCGCCGGCTCCGAGCCCAGCGCCCGCCACAGGCAGCAGCCGGGGCTGGAAAACACGGAATTAGTGTGGGAATCGGGAATGCCGGGAGGGAAAAATGGGAGAAAATGGGGATTTCTGGGAGAAAATGGGTAAAAATGGGGATTTCTGGGAGAAAATGGGAGAAAAATGGGATAAAAATGGGGATTTCAGGGGAATTCTGTGAGAAAAATGGGAATTTCTGGAGAATTCTGGGAGGAAAATGGGCATTTCTGGGATAAAATGGGATAAAAATGGGAATTTCTGGGAGAAAATGGGTAAAAATGGGGATTTCCAGGAGAAAAATGGGAATCAGCGCGGGAACGGGAATGCCGGCAGAGAAACGGGATAAAAATGGGATTTCTGGGAGAAAAATGGGATAAAAATGGGGATTTCTCGGAGAAAAATGGGATAAAAATGGGAGAAAAATGGGGATTTCTGGGAGAAAAACGGGAGAAAAATGGGGATTTCTGGGAGAAAAATGGGAATCAGCGCGGGAAACGGGAATGCCGGGAGAGAAACGGGAGAAAAATGGGATTTCTGGGAGAAAATGGGTAAAAATGGGATAAAAATGGGGATTTCTGGGAGAAAATGGGATAAAAATGGGATAAAAATGGGAATTTCTGGGATAAAAATGGGAATTTTATCCCATTTTCTAGAATAAAAATGGGATTAAAAAAAGGATTCAGGATTGGGGTTGGATTTGGGATTGTGAATGGATTCAGGATTTGGGGCTGGATTTGGGATTTGGGGCTGGATTTGGGGTTTGGGGCCGGATTTGGGATCAGGGCAGGATATGGGATGGGATTTGGGGCAGGATTTGGGATTGTGAGTGGATTTGGGGCAGGATTTGGGATTTGGGGCTGGATTTCAGGCCTGATTTGGGAACAGGGCTGGATTTGGGATCAGGGCAGGATTTAGGGCAGGATTTGGGATTTAAGCAGGATTTGGAATCAGGGAAGGATTTGGAATCGGGGCAGGATTTGGGATCAGGAACTCTGGGATCAGGGTAGGATTTAGGATCAGATTCCTGCCCAGGGTTGGATTTGGGATCAGATTTGGGATCAGGGCAGCATTTGGAATCAGGGAAGGATTTGAGATCAGGGAAGGATTTGGGATCAGGGCAGGATTTGGGATCAGGGCAAGATTTGGGATGTGAATTCCGGCATCAGGAATGGATTTGGGATCAGGAATTCCAGGATCAGGAATTCCGGGATCATTCCCACCTGTCCAAGGGCAGCCCCCGTGCCAGCAGGCAGCCCACCGTGCGCCGGGGCAGGATTTGGGATCGGGGCAGGATTTAGGGCAGGATTTGGGATTGGGGCAGGATTTAGGGCAGGATTTGGGATTGGGGCAGGATTTAGGGCAGGATTTGGGATTGGGGCAGGATTTAGGGCAGGATTTGGGATTGGGGCAGGATTTAGGGCAGGATTTGGGATTTGGGGCAGGATTTGGGATTGGGGCAGGATTTGCGATTGGGGAAGGATTTGGGATCAGGGCAATATTTGGGATCAGGAATTCCGGGATCAGGGCAGGATTTGGGATCAGGGCAGGATTTGGGATGGGATTTGGGGCAGGATTTGGGATTGTGAATGGATTTGGGATTTGGGGCAGGATTTAGGAATTGGGGCTGGATTTGGGATCGGGGCAGGATTTGGGATCAGGGCAGGATTTAGGACAGGATTTGGGATTTGGGGCTGGATTTCAGGCCTGATTGGGGAACAGGGCTGGATTTTGGGATCGGGGCAGGATTTAGGGATCAGGGCAGGATTCCAGGCTGGATTTGGGATTGGGGCAGGATTTAGGGCAGGGTTTAGGTCCAGATTTGGGATCGGGGCAGGATTTGGGATCGGGGCAGGATTTGGGATCGGGGCAGGATTTGGGATGGGATTTGGGGCAGGATTTGGGATTGTGAGTGGATTTGGGATTTGGGGCAGGATTTAGGATTTGGGGCTGGATTTGGGATTGGGGCAGGATTTGGGATCGGGGCAGGATTTGGGATGGAAATTCCGGGATCGGGGCAGGATTTGGGATCAGGAATTCCAGGATTGGGAATTCTGGGATCAGGAATTCCGGGATCATTAATTCCCACCTGTCCAGAGGCAGCCCCCGTGCCAGCAGGCAGCCCACCGTGCGCCGGGGCAGGATTTGGGATCGGGGCAGGATTTGGGGCAGGATTTGGGATCGGGGCAGGATTTGGGATGGAAATTCCGGGATCAGGGCAGGATTTGGGATTGGGACAGGATTTGGGATTGGGGAAGGATTTGGGATCAGGGCAATATTTGGGATCAGGAATTCCGGGATCAGGGCAGGATTTGGGATCGGGGCAGGATTTGGGATGGGATTTGGGGCAGGATTTGGGATTGTGAGTGGATTTGGGATTTGGGGCAGGATTTAGGATTTGGGGCTGGATGTGGGATCGGGGCAGGATTTAGGACAGGATTTGGGGCTGGATTTCAGGCCTGATTTGGGAACAGGGCAGGATTTGGGATCGGGGCGGGATTTGGGGCTGGATTTGGGATCAGAGCAGGATTTGGGATTGGGGCAGGATTTGGGATCAGGAATTCCAGGATCAGGGTGGATTTGGGATGGGAATTCCGGGATCAGGGCAGGATTTGGGACGGGAATTCCGGGATCAGGGCAGGATTTGGGATTAGGGCAGGATTTGGGATGGGAATTCTGGGATTGGGAATTCCGGGATCAGGAATTCCAGGATCATTAATTCCCACCTGTCCAGAGGCAGCCCCCGTGCCAGCAGACACCCCACCGTGCGCCGGGGCAGGATTTGGGATCGGGGCAGGATTTGGGATCGGGGCGGGATTTGGGGCAGGATTTGGGATCAGAGCAGGATTTGGGATTGGGGCAGGATTTGGGATCAGGAATTCCAGGGTCAGGGTGGATTTGGGATGGGAATTCCGGGATCAGGACAGGATTTGTGATCAGGGAAGTATTTAGGGCAGGATTTGGATTGGGACGGGATTTGGGGCAGGATTTGGGATGGGATTTGGGGCAGGATTTGGGATTGTGAATGGATTTAGGATTTGGGGCAGGATTTGGGATTGGGAATTCCGGGATCATTCCCACCTGTCAAGGGGCAGCCCCCGTGCCAGCGGGCAGCCCACCGTGCGCCGGGGCAGGATTTGGGATTGGGGCAGGATTTGGGATTGGGGCAGGATTTAGGGCAGGATTTGGGATTTGGGGCAGGATTTGGGATTTGGGGCAGGATTTGGGATCAGGAATTCCAGGATCATTAATTCCCACCTGTCGAGGGGCAGCCCCCGTGCCAGCAGACAGCCCACCGTGCGCCGGGGCAGGATTTGGGATCGGGGCAGGATTTGGGATCAGGGAAGGATTTGGGATGGAAATTCCAGGATCGAGGCAGGATTTGGGATGGGAATTCTGGGATCAGGAATTCCGGGATCATTCCCACCTGTCCAGGGGCAGCCCCCGTGCCAGCAGGCAGCCCACCGTGCGCCGGGGCAGGATTTGGGATGGATTTGGGGCGGATTTGGGATTGTGAGTGGATTAGGGGCAGGATTTGGGATTTGGGATCAGGGAAGTATTTAGGGCAGGATTTGGGATTTGGGGCTGGATTCCAGGCCTGATTTGGGAACAGCGCTGGATTTTGGGATCGGGGCAGGATTTGGGATCGGGGCAGGATTTCGGGCTGGATTTGGGATTGGGGCAGGATTTAGGGCAGGATTTAGGTCCAGATTTGGGATCGGGGCAGGATTTGGGGCTGGATTTGGGATTGGGGCAGGATTTAGGGCAGGATTTGGGATTTGGGGCAGGATTTGAGATCGGGGCAGGATTTGGGATCAGGAATTCCAGGATCAGGACAAAATTTCGGATCAGGAATTCCAGGATCAGGGCGGATTTGGGATGGGAATTCCGGGATCAGGGCAGGATTTGGGATTGGGACAGGATTTGGGATTTGGGACTGGATTTGGGATCAGGGCAGGATTTGGGATCAGGAATTCCGGGATCAGGGCAGGATTTGGGATCGGGGCAGGATTTGGGATGGGATTTGGGGCAGGATTTGGGATTGTGAGTGGATTTGGGATTTGGGGCAGGATTTAGGATTTGGGGCTGGATTCAGGATCGGGGCAGGATTTAGGACAGGATTTGGGATTTGGGGCTGGATTTGGGATCGGGGCAGGATTTGGGATTGGGGCAGGATTTGGGATTGGGGCAGGATTTGGGATCAGGGACGGATTTGGGATCAGGAATTCTGGGATCAGGGCAGGATTTGGGATCGGGAATTCCGGGATCATTCCCACCTGTCCAGGGGCGGCCCCCGTGCCAGCAGGCAGCCCACCGTGCGCCGGGGCAGGATTTGGGATTGGGGCAGGATTTGGGATCAGGGCAGGATTTGGGATTGGGGCAGGATTTGGGATTGGGGAAGTATTTAGGGCAGGATTTGGGATCAGGGCAGGATTTGGGATCGGGGCAGGATTTGGGATTGGGGAAGGATTTGGGATCGGGGCAGGATTTGGGATGGGAATTCCGGGATCAGGGAAGGATTTGGGATTGGGGCAGGATTTGGGATGGGAATTCCGGGATCAGGGAAGGATTTGGGATCGGGGCAGGATTTGGGATGGGAATTCCGGGATCAGGGACAGATTTGGGATCAGGAATTCCGGGATCATTCCCACCTGTCGAGGGGCAGCCCCCGTGCCAGCAGGCAGCCCACCGTGCGCCGGGGCAGGATTTGGGATCAGGGCAGGATTTGGGATGGATTTGGGGCAGGATTTAGGATTGTGAGTGGATTTGGGATTTGGGGCAGGATTTAGGACAGGATTTGGGGCTGGATTTCAGGCCTGATTTGGGAACAGGGCAGGATTTGGGATCGGGGCGGGATTTGGGGCAGGATTTGGGATCAGAGCAGGATTTGGGATTGGGGCAGGATTTGGGATCAGGAATTCCAGGGTCAGGGTGGATTTGGGATGGGAATTCTGGGATCAGGGCAGGATTTGGGATCGGGAATTCCGGGATCAGGGCAGGATTTGGGATCGGGAATTCCGGGATCATTAATTCCCACCTGTTGAGGGGCAGCCCCCGTGCCAGCAGGCAGCCCACCGTGCGCCGGGGCAGGATTTGGGATTGGGGCAGGATTTAGGGCTGGATTTGGGATGGGAATTCTGGGATTGGGAATTCCGGGATCGGGAATTCCGGGATCATTCCCACCTGTCCAGAGGCAGCCCCCGTGCCAGCAGACACCCCACCGTGCGCCGGGGCAGGCGCAGCGCCAGCAGCTGCACCGCTCGTTGCGCCGCCCGCTGCAGCTGCGGCTCCGCCTGCAGCGCCACCCGCGCATGCAGCGCCTGCAGCAGCTCCGGAACCTGCAACGGAGGGAACGGGGTTTGGGAATGACGGGAAAAGCACGGGAATGCCGGGAAAAGTGGGAAAAGCTTGGGAAAAGAGGGAAAATCTGGGAATGCCGGGAAAAGTGGGAAAAGAGGGATAGCCTGGGAACAACAACGGGAATGATGGGATTTGGGAATGCCGGGAAAAGCTTGGGAACGCCAGGAAAATCTGGGAATGACGGGAAAAGTGGAAAAAGAGGGATAGCCTGGGAACAACAACGGGAATGAGGGGATTTGGGAATGCTGGGAAAAGCAGGAAGGAATCCATGGGATAATTGGGAAAAATGGGAATTATGAGCCTGGGAATAGCGGGAAAAGAGGGATGGGAGACTTGGGATAGCCAGTGAAAAATGGGAATCAAAAATTCAGGAAAGGCAGGATGGTATTCTTGGGATAATCTGGGAAAATTGGAATAAAAGACTTGGGAAAAGAGGGATGGGAGCCTCGGGATATCCTGGGAAAAATGGGAATTATGAGTCCAGGAAAAGTGGGAAAAGAGGTTTGGGAGCTTTGGGATATCCTGGGGAAATGGGAATAAAGAATCCCAGGAAAATTGGAATAAAGAGCCCAGGAAAAATGGGAAGGGATCCATGGGATAACCTGGGAAAAATGGGAATTAATTATGGGATTCCAGGCTGGGAAAAGGCTGGGAATGTCAGGAAAAGTGGGAAGGGATCCTCGGGATAACTTGGGAAAAATGGGAATTACGAGCCTGGGAATAGCGGGAAAAGAGGGATGGGAGCCTTGGGATAACCTGGGGAAAATGGGAATCAAAAACCCGGGAATAGTGGGAAAGGAGGGATGGGAGCCTTGGGATAGCCTGGGAAAAATGGGAATAAAGAATCCCAGGAAAATTGGAATAAAGAGCCCAGGAAAAGTGGGAAGGGATCCATGGGATAACCTGGGAAAAATGGGAATTAATTATGGGATTCCAGGCTGGGAAAAGGCTGGGAATGCCAGGAAAAGTGGGAAGGGATCCTCGGGATAACTTGGGAAAAATGGGAATTACGAGCCTGGGAATGGCGGGAAAAGAGGGATGGGAGCCTTGGGATATCCTGGGGAAAATGGGAATGATGGAATTCTGGGCTGGGAAAATTTGGGAATGCCAGGAAAAGCGGGAAAATAGGGATAGCCTGGGAACAATGGGAATGGTGGGATTCCAGCTTGGGAAAAGTCTGGGAATGCCGGGAAAATCCCAGGGATAGCCTGAGAGCAATGGGAATGAGGGGATTTGGGAATGCCGGGAAAAGCGGGAAGGGATCTATTGGATAACCTCGGAAAAACGGGAATTACGAGTCCAGGAAAAGTGGGAAAAGAGGTTTGGGAGCTTTGGGATAACCTGGGAAAATGGGAATAAAGAATCCCGGGAAAAGTGGAATAAAGAGCCCAGGAAAAGCGGGAAGGGATCCATTGGATAACTTGGAAAAATGGGAATGACGAGCCTGGGAATAGCGGGAAAAGAGGGATGGGAGCCTTGGGATAACCTGGGGAAAATGGGAATGATGGAATTCTGGGCTGGGAAAAGCCTGGGAATGCCAGGAAAAGTGGGAAAAGAGGGATAGCCTGGGAACAACAATGGGAATGTTAGAATTCTGGGCTGGGAAAAGTCTGGGAATGCCTGAAAAAGTGGGAGGGATCCTCGGGATAACTTGGGAAAAATGGGAATTACGAGTCCAGGAATACTGGGAAAAGAGGTTTGGGAGCTTTGGGATATCCTGGGGAAAATGGGAATAAAGAATCCCAGTAAAATTGGAATAAAGAGCCCAGGAAAAGTGGGAAGGGATCCATGGGATAACCTGGGAATAATGGGAATTAATTATGAGATTCCAGGATGGGAAAAGTCTGGGAATGCCGGGAAAAGTGGGAAAAGAGGGATAGCCTGGGAACAACAATTGGAATGTTGGGATTCTGGGTTGGGAAAAGCAGGAAGGGAGCCTTGGGATAATTGGGAAAAATGGGAATTACGAGTCCAGGAAAACTGGGAAAAGAGGTTTGGGAGCTTTGGGATAACCTGGGAAAATGGGAATAAAGAATCACGGCAAAACTGGAATAAAGAGCCCAGGAAAAGTGGGAAGGGATCCATGGGATAATTGGGAAAAATGGGAATTACGAGCCTGGGAATAGCGGGAAAAGAGGGATGGGAGCCTTGGGATAACCTGGGGAAAATGGGAATGTTGGGATTCCTGTCTGGGAAAAGCCTGGGAATGCCAGAAAAAGTGGGAAAAGAGGGATAGCCTGGGAACAACAAGGGGAATGAGGGGATTGGGGGCTGGGAAAAGTCTGGGAATGCCGGGAAAAGCGGAAAGGGATCCATGGGATAATTGGGAAAAATGGGAATTACGAGCCTGGGAATGGCGGGAAAAGAGGGATGGGAGCCTTGGGATATCCTGGGAAAAATGGGAATTATGAGTCCAGGAAAAGTGGGAAAAGAGGTTTGGGAGCTTTGGGATAACCTGGGGAAAATGGGAATAAAGAATCCCTGGAAAACTGGAATAAAGAGCCCAGGAAAAGTGGGAAGGGATCCATGGGACAATTGGGAAAAATGGGAATTACGAGCCTGGGAATAGCGGGAAAAGAGGGATGACAGCCTTGGGATAACCTGGGGAAAATGGGAATGATGGAATTCTGGGCTGGGAAAAGTCAGGGAATGCCGGGAAAAGTGGGAAAAGAGGGATAGCCTGGGAACAACAACGGGAATGTTGGGATTGTGGGCTGGGAAAAGCCTGGGAATGCCGGGAAAATCCCAGGGATAGCCTGGGAACAATGGGAATGTTGGGATTTGGGAATGCCGGGAAAAGCGGGAAGGGATCCATTGGATAACCTCGGAAAAACGGGAATTACGAGTCCAGGAAAACTGGGAAAAGAGGTTTGGGAGCTTTGGGATAACCTGGGAAAATGGGAATAAAGAATCCCGGGAAAAGTGGAATAAAGAGCCCAGGAAAAGCGGGAAGGGATCCATGGGATAACCTGGGAAAAACGGGAATTACCAGCCTGGGAATAGCAGGAAAAGAGGGATGGGAGCTTTGGGATAACCTGGGGAAAATGGGAATCCTGGAATTTCAGGCTGGGAAAAGCCTGGGAATGCCAGGAAAAGTGGGAAAAGAGGGATAGCCTGGGGAAAATGGGAATGAGGGGATTTGGGAATGCAGGGAAAAGCTTGGGAATAAAGAATCCCAGGAAAAGTGATAAGGGATCCATGGGATAACCTGGGGAAAACGGGAATTACGAGCCTGGGAATAGCGGGAAAAGAGGGATGGGAGCCTTGGGATATCCTGGGAAAAATGGGAATTATGAGTCCAGGAAAACTGGGAAAAGAGGTTTGGGAGCTTTGGGATAAAATGGGAAAATGGGAATAAAGAATCTCGGGAAAAGTGGAATAAAGAGCCCAGGAAAAGTGAGAAGGGATCCATGGGATAACCTGGGAATAATGGGAATTAATTATGGGGTTCCAGGCTGGGAAAAGTCTAGGAATGTCAGGAAAAGTGGGAAGGGATCCTCAGGATAACTTGGGAAAAATGGGAATTACGAGCCTGGGAATAGCGGGAAAAGAGGGATGGGAGCCTTGGGATAACCTGGGGAAAATGGGAATGATGGAATTCTGGGCTGGGAAAAGCCTGGGAATGCCGGGAAAAGTGGGAAAAGAGGGATAGCCTGGGGAAAATGGGAATTATGGAATTCCAGCTTGGGAAAAGGGTGGGAATGCCGGGAAAAGTGGGAAAAAAAGGGATAGCCTGGGAACAAGAACGGGAATGAGGGGATTTGGGAATGCCGGGAAAAGCCTGGGAATGACAGGAAAAGTGGGAAGGGATCCATGGGGTAATTGGGAAAAATGGGAATTATGAGCCTGGGAATGGCGGGAAAAGAGGGATGGGAGCCTTGGGATAACCTGGGGAAAACGGGAATCCTGGAATTTTTTGGGATTCTTTTTGGAATTCCAGGGATGTTTTTGGGACTGTTGGGAATTAAATTTTGGGAATTCCGACCTGCTCGTGCAGGATCTCGCCCCGTTCCCGGATCAGGAATGTTGGGAATTATTGGGAATTTATTGGGATTTTTTGCATTTTTTTGAATTTTTCGGATTTTTTGGGTAATAAATCGTTGGAAATTTTGGGGAATTTTGGGAATTTTGAGAATTCCGACCTGCTCGTGCAGGATCCCCTCTCGTTCCCGGATCAGGAATGCTGGGATTTTTTGGGAATTTATTGGGATTTTTTTTTAATATTTGGGATATTTTTTGCATTTTTTTTTAAATTTTTCGGATTTTTTGGGTAATAAATTTTGGGGAATTTCGGGAATTTTGGGAATTCTGACCTGTTCATGCAGGATCTCGCCCCGTTCCCGGATCAGGGCGTTGCCGATGGCGGCGGCGGCGCGGCCGCAATTCCGCTCAGGATCGGTCCAGGCCTCCAGCAGCGCCAGCAGCAGCCCCGGCAGCTGCTCCGGGGGGATCCTCCTGCCCAGAACCTGCGGAAAATCCAGAAAATCGGGAATTCCGGAGGGGTCGGGGGTGCTGGGGAGGAAATCCTAAAAAAATTCCATGAAAAATTGCAAAAAAACGGGAAAAAAAATCAAAAAAACCCTAAAAAAAGGCAAAAAAAATTCCAAAAAATCCTCTAAACCCGCCCCAAAAAAATTTTAAAAATCACCCCAAAATCCACCTAAATAGAAAAACTTCGCAAAATATAAAAAATGTCCCCAAACCCCCACCAAGAAACTCCCTAAAAAGAAAAAAAAAACCACCAAAAATCAACAAAAGGCCCCAAAATCCACCTGCCCCCAAAAAAAATCCCCCAAAAATAAAGCCCCCAAAATCCACCCCCCAAAAAAATCTCAAAAAATAAAAAAGTCCCCAAAATCCACCCAAAAATTAAAAACATCTCTCCAAAAATAAAGAAAAAAACAAAATGAAAAAATTCCAAAGAAATCCCCCCAAAAATCCCCCCAAAACATCCAAAGAAATTCCACCAAAATTAAAAAAAAAATTCCCAAAAAATGGCCCCAAACCCCCAAAAATATCCCCAAAAAGTCCCCAAAAAGCAACCAGAGAAACGCCCCAAAAGTAAGAAAAAAATCCCCAAATCTCCCAAAATTCCGGTGGGATTCTCCTGCCCAGAATCTGCAGAAAATTGGGAAAATTGTGAATTCTGGAGGGATCGGGGGTGCTGGGGAGGAAATCCTTAAAAAATTCCACAAAAAAATAGCGAAAAAACGGAAAAATTAAAAAAAACCCTAAAAAAAAGCAGAAAAATAATTAAAAAAAAAATCTAAAAACTCCCAAAATTAAAAATAAAAATCACCCCAAAATCCACCCAAATAGAAAATAAAAAAACTTTCTCCCCCAAAAAAAATTCCCAAAAAATCCCCAAAAATCTCTGAAAATGAAAAAAAAAGTTGGCTGGCCAAAAAATTTCCTCCCACAAAAAAATCTCAAAAAATAAGAAAAAAATTCCCCAAAAATTCTCAAAATACTTAAAAAAATTCCCAAGAAAATTCCTCAAAAATTCCCCAAAAAATCCCAAAGAAATCCCAAAAAATTCCACCAAAATTAAAAAAAATCCCCCAAAAAATCCCCCAAAAAATCCCCCCAAAAATCCTCCCACAATCCCCAAAATTTTCCTAAAAAAAAATCCCCAAAAAATCCTCCCACAATCCCCAAAATTTTCCTTAAAAATCCCCAAAAAATCCATTAATAGCTGCAAAAAAAATTCCCCCCAAAAAATTCTCCAAAAAATTCCCAAAAATTCCCCAAATTCCCCATAAAATCCAAAAAAAATCCCCCCAAAATCCCAAGAGATCCATAAACATCCCCCCAAAAAATCCCAAAACATTCCCAAAGCCTCCCCCAAGTCCGTAATTCCAGAATTCCCAAATTATTCCCGAATTATTCCCGAAGAATTCCGGAATTCCCGAATTTCTCACCGCTCCCAGGCGGCTGCAGGTTTGGAAAAGGACGGAAAAATCGGGAAATCGGGAATTTTCCAGCCCCGCCTTCAGCTCCTGCAGCTCCTCCAGCAGCTCGTCCCGGTGATCCCGAGAAAACCCTGGAAAATTCGGGAAAAGAGAAAATTCCGGAAATTCGAGCTTGGAAAAATCCTTGGAATTCACCGAGTCCAACAAGAATTGGAATTCCAGAGGGAATTTGGGATTTTTAAATGATTTTTGGGGCAGTTTGAGCCCTAAACTGGGGAAATTCCCTGAAAATTCCCCAAAATTCCCCTGGAAAATTCCAGGAAATTTCGGGAAAAGCAAAAATTCTGGAATTTTGAGATTGGAAAAACAGGGAGGTGAACAGGAGATGGAATTCCAGAGGGAATTTGGGATTTTTTCCCAATTTTTGGGATAATTCCAGCCCCAAAACTGGGAAAAAACCCCTGGAAAATTCCAGGAAAAGTTGGGAAAAGAGAAAATTCTGGAATTCTGAGCTTGGAAAAATCCTTGGAATTCACAGAGTCCAACAAGAATCGGAATTCCAGAGGGAATTTGGGATTTTTTAACGATTTTTGGGACAATTCCAGCCCTAAACCGGGGAAATTCCAAAAAAATTCCCAAAATTCCCCTGGAAAATTCCAGGAAATTTCGGGAAAAGCAAAATTTCTGGAATTTTGAGATTGGAAGAACTGGGAGGTGAACAGGAGATGGAATTCCAGAGGGAATTTGGGATTTTTTCCCATTTTTTTTAGGAAATTCCAGCCCCATAACTGGGAAAAAAAACCCTGGAAAATTCCAGGAAAATTCCAGAAAAAATTCTGGAATTCTGGCCCTGGAAAAATCCAAGTTCATCCAGGGCCGTCATTATCCCAGTAAAAATCTGGGAATTTTGGACTTTTCCTGATTTTTGGGGCGAATTCTTGTGGGTGAGGCTTTGAAAATCCCAAAAGTTTGGGAAAGGAGAAATTCCATGGAATTCCCTCCTTGGGATTGAACCCAAAAATTTTGGGAATTCCTTGGGAAAAGCCGGAATTTGATGGGATTGAACCCCAAAAATTCCCAGAATTCCATGGGAATGTTGGAATTTGGGATTGAGGCCCAAAAATTCCCGGAATTCCCTCTCCAGGTGTATCCCAAAATTCCAAAGGGAAGCAGCGCCCCCTGCTGGACAAGCCGAGAACTCCATGCCCAAAATCCTCGGGAAAACCATTCCCAAAAATCCCAAAAATCCTCGGGAAAACCATTCCCAAAAAACCACAAAGAACCTTGGGAAAACCCGTCCCAAAACTCCTCCAAAAAATTTGGGAAACCCATTCCCAAAAATCCCAAAAATCCTTGGGAAAACCACTCCAAAAAAATCCCGAAAATCCTCAGGAAACCCATTCCAAAAAATCCCAAAAACCCCAAAATCCCAAAAAACCTTCAGGATCCCTTCCCAGAAACCCCCAAACCCCAAAAATCCTCAGGAAATCCTTTCCCAAAAATCCTCAAAATCCCAAAAAAATCTCAGGAAGAACATTCCCAAAAAACCCCAAATCCCCAAAAAAAAGCAGGAAAACTATTTCCAAAAATCCTCAGGAAATCTTTTCCCAAAATCCCAAAAAACCTTGGGAAAACCATCCCAAAATTCCCAAAAATCTTTGGGAAATCCCTTCCCAAAAACCCTCAAATCCCTGCCAAAAAAAGCCAGAAAACCATTCCCAAAAACCCCAAAATCCCAAAAAACCTCAGGTAAAACTGTTCCCAAAAATCCTCAGGAAATCCCTTCCCAAAAATCCTCAAAATCCCAAAAAAACCTTGGGAAAACCATTCCCAAAAACCCCCAAATTCCCCCTCAAAAAAGCTGGAAAATCATTCCCAAAAACCCCAAAATCCCAAAATCCTCTGGAAAAACATTCCCAAAAATCCTGAAAATCCCAAAAATTCTTGGGAAAACATTCCCAAAAACACTCAGGACAACCATTCCCAAAAACCCCAAATCCCAAAAACGTCTGGAAAACCATTCCCAACAACACCCAAATCCCAAAAATCTTTTTGAAAACCATTCCCAAATATCCTCAGGAAATCCCTTCCCAAAAACCCCCAAACCCCACAAACCAGCCCTGAGGATTCCCGGAAGTGTGGGAATTTTCCAGGTGGGAATTTTCCAGGTGGGAATTTTCCAGGTGGGAATTTTCCAGGTGGGAATTTTCCGGCTGGGAATTTCCCTCTGGAATTCCGGCCCACCTTGGAAGCAGAGCTGGATGCGCAGCAGGGCCCGGACGCAATCCAGGGATCGGGAGCGGATTTCGGGAATTGCGTCGGAGCAGCGCGGAGCCAGCAGGGCCAGGAGAGCCGGGAGAGCCGGGAACGGAGTCACCGCCTGCCGGGAGAGAGGGGAGTCGGGAATTGGGAATTGGGAATTCGGGAATTCGGGAATTCGGGAATTGGGAATTGGGGATGGAAAAGTGGGAGTGGGAACGGGAATGGGAATCGGGAATCGGGAATTCGGGAATTGGGGATGGAAAAGGGGAGTGGGAATATGGGAATGGGAATTTGGGATGGGAACTGGGAATGGGAATATGGGAATGGGAATGGGAATTGGGGATGGAAAACTGGGAATGGGAACTGGGAATGGGAACGGGAATTAGGGATGGGGAATGGGAATATGGGAATGGGAATCGGGAATTTGGGAATTGGGGATAAAAAACGGGAATGGGAATGGGAATTGGGGATGGAAAACCGGGAATGGAAACTGGGAATGGAAAACCAGGAATGGGAATGGGAATGGGAACTGGGGATGGAAAACTGGGAATGGAAACTGGGAATGGGAATGGGAATTAGGGATGGGAAAGCGGGAATGGGAATATGGGAATTGGGAATCGGGAATTGGGGATAAAAAATGGGAATGGGAATGAGAATGGGAATGGGAATGGGAATGGAAAACCAGGAATGGGAATGGGAACTGGGGACAAAAACGGGAATGGGAACAGGAATGGGAATTCAGGAATTGGGGATAAAAATGCGAATGGGAATATGGGAATGGGAATGGGAACTGGGGATAAAAATGGGAATGGGAACGGGAATGGGAATTCGGGAATTTGGGAATGGAAAAGCGGGAGTGGGAATACAGGAATGGGAATGGGAATTGGGGATAAAAACAGGGAATGGGAATGGGAATGGGAATTGGGGATAAAAACGGGAGTGGGAATATGGGAATGGGAATTGGGGATGGAAAACTGGGAATGGGAACTGGGAATGGGAACGGGAATTTGGGAATGGAAAAGCGGGAGTGGGAATATGAGAATGGGTATTGGGAATGGGAATTGGTGAGTGGGAATTGGGGATGGGATTTGGAGATGGGAATTGGGGATAAAAACGGGAATGGGAATATGGGAATGGGAATGGGAATGGGAATTAGGGATGGGATTTGGGGATGGGAATTGGGGATAAAAATGGGAATGGAAACCGGGAATGGGAATGGAAAACTGAGAATGGAAAACCGGGAATGGGAATATGGGGATGGGAATTCGGGAATTGGGGATAAAAACAGGGAATGGGAATGGGAATGGGAACTGGGGATGGGAATGGAAAACTTGGAATAGAAAACCAGTCATGGAAAACCAGGAATGGAAAACCAGGAATGGGAATGGAAATGGGAATTGGGGATGGAAAACTGGGAATGGAAACTGGGAATGGGAATGGGAATTTGGGAATGGAAAAGCAGGAATGGGAATATGGGAATGGGAATTTAGGAAATGGGAATTGGGAACTGGGGATAAAAACCGGGAATGGGAATGGGAACGGGAATGGTAATGGGAATGGAAAAGCGGGAGTGGGAATATGGGAATGGGAAATGGGAATGGGAATTGGGGACAAAAACGGGAATGGGAATTTAGAATGGGAATTCGGGAATTGGGGATAAAAAAGGGGAATGGGAATGGGAATGAGAACTGGGGATGGAAAAACCAGGAATGGAAACTGGGAATGGGAATTCGGGAATTCAGGAATTGGGGATGGAAAAGCAGGAGTGGGAATATGGGAATGGGAAACTGGGAATTTGGGAATGGGAATTGGGGATGGGATTTGGGGATGGGAATTGGGGATAAAAATGGGAATGGAAACTGGGAATGGGAATGGAAAACTGAGAATGGAAAACCGGGAATGGGAATATGGGGATGGGAATTTGGGAATTGGGGATAAAAACAGGGAATGGGAATGGGGAATGGGAACTGGGGATGGGAATGGGAATGGGGAATTGGGAATGGAAAACTTGGAATAGAAAACCGGGAATGGAAAACCAGGAATGGGAATGGAAATGGGAATTGGGGATGGAAAACTGGGAATGGAAACTGGGAATGGGAACGGGAATTTGGGAATGGAAAAGCGGAGTGGGAATATGGGAATGGGAATTCGGGAATTGGGGATAAAAACGGGAATGGGAATGGGGAATGGGAATGGGAATGGGAATGGGGATAAAAAACGGGAATGAAAACAAGGAATGGGAATGGGAATTTGGGATGGGAACTGGGGGATAAAACCTGGGAATGAAATCCAGGAATGGGAATTGGGGATGGAAATAAAAACTGGGAATGAAATCCGGGAATTCCCGTCTCCAGGGCTGGGAGGGTTGGGAATTCCGGGAACTCACACGCACTTGGAGGTTTTTGGGATTGAATTCTGGGAATGAAATCTGGGAATGGAATTGGGAATGGAATTGGGAATGGAATTTGGGAATGGAATCCGGGAATGAAATCTGGGATGGAATCAGGAATGGAATCTGGGAATTAAATTGGGAATGGAATCGGGAATGGAATTTGGGAATGAAATCCGGGAATGGAATCGGGGATGGAATTGGGAATAGAATTGGGAATGGAATTTGGGATTGAATTTTGGGAATGGAATCAGGAATGGAACTGGGAATGGAATCGGGAATGAAATTTGGGAATGAATTCTGGGAATGGAATTTGGGAATGGAATCAGGAATGGAATTTGGGAATGAATTCTGGGAATGGAATTTGGGAATGGAATCGGGAAAGGAATTTGGGAATGGAATCCGGAATGGAATTTAGGAATGAAATTGGGAATGGAATTTGGGAATTAAATCCGGGAATGGAATTGGGAATGGAATCCGGGAATGGAATTTGGGATTGAATTTTGGGAATGGAATCGGGAATGGAATCAGGAATGGAATCTGGGATTGAATTCTGGGAATGGAATTTAGGAATGGAATCCTGGAATTAAATTGGGAATGGAATCGGGAATGGAATTTGGGATTGAAATCTGGGAATGGAATTGGGAAGAGAATTGGGAATGGAATTGGGAATGAATTCTGGGAATGGAATTTGGGAATGGAATCCGGAATGGAATTTGGGATTAAAATCTGGGAATGAAATCCGGGATTGAAATCTGGGAATGGAATTGGCAATGGACTCGGGAATGGAATTGGGAATGAATTCTGGGAATGGAATTTGGGAATGAATTCTGGGAATGGAATTTGGGATTGAAATCTGGGAATGGAATTGGAAATGGAACTTAGGAATGAAATACGGAAATGGAATTGGGAATGGAATTGGGAATGGAATTTGGGAATGAAATCTGGGATTGGATCAGGAATGGAATTTGGGATTGAATTTTGGGATTGGATCAGGAATGGAATTGGGAATGGAATCTGGGAATGAAATCCGGGAATTCCCGTCTCCAGGGCTGGGAGGGAGGGTTGGGAATTCCGGGAACTCACGCGCACGTCGAGGTTTTCCAGGAAAAATTCCAGCAGGGATTTGCCGATGCCGAGGCCGCGCTCCCGCTCCGGCTCCCGCGGGGAGCGGATCCAGGGGCCTAAATGCTGGGAACGGGGGAAAATCCTGGAATTCTGCAGGGAAATCCTGGAATTCTGACAGGAAAAATCTGGGAATTCTGCAGGGAAAATGCTGGAGTTCTGCAGGGAAAATCCTGGAATTTTACAAGGAAAATGCTGGGATTCTGACAGGAAAATCTGGGAATTCTGCAGGGAAAATCCTGGAATTCTGCAGGGAAAATTCTGGGACTCTGCAGGGAAAATTCTGGAATTTTACAGGAAAAATGCTGGAATTCTGCAGGGAAATCCTGGAATTCTGCAGGGAAAAATTCTGGGATTCTGACAGGAAAAATCTGGGAATTCTGCACGGAAAATCCTGGAATTTTACAGGAAAAATGCTGGAATTCTGCAAGGAAAATTCTGGGACTCTGCAGGGAAAATTCTGGAATTATGGCAGGAAAATGCTGAAATTCTGGCAAGAAATTCCTGAAATTTTACAGGGAAAATTCTGGAATTCTGCAGGGGAAAATCCTGGAATTTTACAGGAAAAATGCTGGAATTCTGTGGGGAAATCCTGGAATTCTGCAGGGAAAATTCTGGGACTCTGCAGGGAAAATCCTGGAATTTTACAGGAAAAATCTGGGATTCTGCAGGGAAAAATCTTGGAATTCTACAGGGAAAATCCTGGAATTCTAGAGGGAGAATGCTGGAATTCTGCCAAGAAATTCCTGGAATTTTACAGGGAAAGTCCTGGAATTCTGCAGGGGAAATGCTGGAACTTTACAGGGAATATTTTGGGATTGTACAGGGAAAATCCTGGAATTCTGCAGGGAAATCCTGGAATTCTGCAGGGAAATCCTGGGATTCTGCCAGGAAAAATCTGGGAATTCTGCAGGGAAAATGCTGGAATTCTGCAGGGAAAATCCTGGAATTCTGCAGGGAAATCCTGGGATTCTGACAGGAAAAATCTGGGAATTCTACAGGGAAAATGCTGGAATTCTGGCAAGAAATTCCTGAAATTTTACAGGGAAAATTCTGGAATTCTGCAGGGAAAATTCTGGGATTGTACAGGAAAAATCTCCGAATTCTGCAGGGAAAATCCTGGTATTCTGCAGGGAAAAATTCTGGGATTCTGACAGGAAAATTCTGGAATTCTGCAGGGAAAATCCTGAAATTTTACAGGAAAAAATCTGGGATTCTGCAGGGAAAAATCTTGGAATTCTAAAAGGAAAATCCTGGAATTCTAGAGGGGAAATGCTGGAATTCTGCCAAGAAATTCCTGGAATTTTACAGGGAAAGTCCTGGAATTCTGCAGGGGAAATGCTGGAACTTTACAGGGAATATTTTGGGATTGTACAGGGAAAATCCTGGAATTCTGCAGGGGAAATCTTGGAATTCAAGAGGGAGAATGCCAGAAACCTGGCAGGAAAAATCCTGGAATTTTACAGGAAAAATCTGGGATTCTGCAGGGAAAAATCTTGGAATTCTACAAGGAAAATCCTGGAATTCTAGAGGGAGAATGCTGGAATTCTGCAGGGAAAATCTGGGAATTCTACAGGGAAAATTCCCAAAACCACTCCCGGAATTCCCAAAATTCCCAAAACCACTCCTGGATTTCCCGAAATTCCCAGAATTCCCCAAATTCCCGAAATTCCCCAAACCACTCCCGGAATTCCCAAAATTCCCAAAGTTCCCAAAACCACTCCCAGAATTCCCAAAATTCCCGAAATTCTCAAAATTCCCAAAATTTCCAAAATTCCGAAAACCACTCCCAGAATCCCCAAAATCCCCAAAATTCACAAAACCACTCCCGGATTTCCCAAAATTCCCAAAACCACTCCCGAAATTCCCGGAATTCCCCAAATTCACAAAATTCCCCAAACCACTCCCGGAATTCCCCAAATTCCCAAAATTCCCGAAGTTCCCAAAACCACTCCCAGAATTCCCAAAAATTCCCAAAACCACTCCTGGATTTCCCGAAATTCCCGGAATTCCCAGAATTCCCAGAATTCCCAAAACCGCTCCCGGATTTCCTGAAATTCCCAAAAGCATTCATGGAATTCCAAAATTCCCATGAAATTCCCAAAACCACTCCTGAAATTCCCAAAATTTCCAAAATTCCGAAAACCACTCCCGGATTTCCCAGAATTCCCAAAACCACTCCCAAAATTCCCGAAATTCCCAGAATTCCCGAAATTCCTGGAATTCCGGGCACTCACGGCAAAGATCTCCTGGAGGCCGCTGGGGCTGAGGCGACTCCGGAGGATTCCCTGGAGCAGCTCCGTGAGCGCCGCCAGCGCCTCCTGGAACAGCTCCTGGAAAAATCCCGGAAAATCCCGGAATTCTGGGCTGGGAAAAACCCCTGGAATTCCCAAACCCATCCCAGCCCATCGTTATCCCAGAAAAAAATGGGAATTTTGGGATTTTTCCCATTTTTTGGGGGGAAATCTTGCAGATGAACCTTTAAAAAATCTTGGAAAGGAAGAAAATCCTGGAAAATCCCGGAATTTTGGGCTGGGAAAAACCCCTGGAATTCCCAAACCCATCCCAGCCCATCGTTATCCCGGAAAAAAATGGGAATTTTGGGATTTTCCCCATTTTTTTGGGGGGAATTCTTGGAAAATCCCAGGATTGTTTGGAAAAGGAAGAAAATCCCGGAATTCTGGGCTGGGAAAAACCCCTGGAATTCCCAAACCCATCCCAGCCCATCGTTATCCCGGAAAAAAATGGGAATTTTGGGATTTTCCCCATTTTTTGAGGGGAATTCTTGCGGATGAGCTCTGGAAAATCCCGGATTGTTTGGAAAAGGAAGAAAATCCCGGAATTTTGGGCTCGGAAAAACCCCTGGAATTCCCAAATCCATTCAAGGCCATCGTTATCCCAGAAAAAAATGGGAATTTTTTGGGATTTTCCCCATTTTTTTTGGAATTTTTTTTCTAATTCTTGTGGATAAACCCTTTAAAAATCTTGGAAAGGAAGAAAATCCTGGAAAATCCCGGAATTTTTGGGCTTGGAAAAACTTCTGGAATTCCCAAACCCATCCAAGGTCATCGTTATCCCGGAAAAAAATGGGAATTTTGGGATTTTCCCCATTTTTCTCGGGTGAATTCTTGCGGATGAGCTCTGGAAAATCCCGGATTGTTTGGAAAAGGAAGAAAATCCCGGAATTTTGGGCTCGGAAAAACCCCTGGAATTCCCAAATCCATTCAAGGCCATCGTTATCCCAGAAAAAAATGGGAATTTTTTGGGATTTTCCCCATTTTTTTTGGAATTTTTTTTCTAATTCTTGTGGATAAACCCTTTAAAAATCTTGGAAAGGAAGAAAATCCCAGGATTGTTTGGAAAAGGAAGAAAATCCCGGAATTTTGGGCTCGGAAAAACCCCTGGAATTCCCAAACCCATCCCAGCCCATCGTTATCCTGGAAAAAAATTGGGAATTTTGGTATTTTTCCCATTTTTTTGGGGGAAATCTTGCAGATGAACCTTTAAAAAATCTTGGAAAGGAAGAAAATCCCGGAAAATCCCAGAATTTTGGGCTCGGAAAAACCCCTGGAATTCCCAAACCCATCCCAGCCCATTGTTATCCTGGAAAAAAATGGGAATTTTGGGATTTTCCCCATTTTTTTGGGGGGAATTCTTGGCAAATCCCGGATTGTTTGGAAAAGGAAGAAAATCCCGGAATTTTGGGCTCGGAAAAACCCCTGGAATTCCCAAATCCATTCAAGGACATCGTTATCCCGGAAAAAAATGGGAATTTTGGGATTTTCCCGATTTTTAAAAATTTTTCTTTGAATTATTGCAGATGAACCCTTTAAAAATCTTGGAAAGGAAGAAAATCCTGGAAAATCCCGGAATTTTGGGCTCGGAAAAACCCCTGGAATTCCCAAACCCATTCAAGGCCATCGTTATCCCAGAAAAAAAATGTGAATTTTGGGATTTTCCTGATTTTTTTTGGAATTTTTTTTGAATTATTGCAGATGAACCCTTTAGAAATCTTGGAAAGGAAGAAAATCCTGGAAAATCCCAGAATTTTGGGCTTGGAAAAACTACTGGAATTCCCAAACCCATCCAAGGCCATCGTTATCCCGGAAAAAAATGGGAATTTTGGGATTTTCCCCATTTTTCTCGGGTGAATTCTTGGAAAATCCCGGATTGTTTGGAAAAGGAAGAAAATCCCGGAATTTTGGGCTCGGAAAAACCCCTGGAATTCCCAAATCCATTCAAGGCCATCGTTATCCCGGAAAAAAATGGGAATTTTGGGATTTTCCCAATTTTTAAAAATTTTTCTTTGATTTATTGCAGATGAACCCTTTAAAAATCTTGGAAAGGAAGAAAATCCTGGAAAATCCCGGAATTTTGGGCTTGGAAAAACTTCTGGAATTCCCAAACCCATCCCAGCCCATCGTTATCTCGGAAAAAAATTGGGAATTTTGGGATTTTTCCCATTTTTTGGGGGGAAATCTTGGAAAATCCCGGATTGTTTGGAAAAGGAAGAAAATCCCGGAATTCTGGGCTCAGAAAAACCCCTGGAATTCCCAAATCCATTCAAGGCCATCGTTATCCCGGAAAAAAATGGGGATTTTTTGGGACTTTCCCCATTTTTTTGGGAATTTTTTTTGGAATTATTTTTGGGGAAAAAAATGGGATGGGAATCCAGGTGGGTTTTTTTTCTGGAATTCCCATTTTTTCCCCAAAATCCCATTTTCCCCCCAAAAATCCCACAGAATTCCCAGAAATTCCAGAGCTGCCCCACCCCAGGAAGGACCCGGAATATCGGGATCATCCCATGGGAATGGGGTGGGAATTCAGGTGGTTTTTTCCCGGAATTCCCATTTTGTCCCAAAATTCCCATTTTTCTTCCCAAATCTGGTGGAGTTCCAACCTAGGCTCCGGACTGTTCCCATTTTTTTCCCGGAATTCCCGTTTTTTTCCTGGAATTCCCATTTTTCCCCCAAATCCTGCAGAATTCCCACCTGGGCTCCGGGCTGTTCCCAGTTTTTCCCAGAATTCCCGTTTTTTTCCTGGAATTCCCATTTTTTTCCCCAAAATTCCCATTTTCCCCCACAAATCCCGCGGAATTCCCACCTGTGCCCCGGGCTGTTCCCATTTTTTCCCGGAATTCCCCTTTTTTTCCCAGAATTCCCATTTTTTCCCCCCAAATCCCATGGAATTCCAACCTGTGCTCCGGGCTGTTTCCATTTTTTTCCTGGAATTCCCATTTTGCCCCCAAATCCCGTGGAATTCCCACCTGAGCTCCGGGCTGTTCCCATTTTTTCCCGGAATTCCCATTTTTTTCCCAGAATTCCCATTTTCCCCAAAAATCCTGCAGAATTCCCACCTGTGCTCCAGGCTGCTCCCGGTTTTTCCCGGAATTCCCATTTTTTTCCGGAATTCCCATTTTTTCCCCCCAAATCCCATGGAATTCCCACCTGGGCTCCGAGCTGTTCTCATTTTTTCCCAGAATTCCCATTTTTCCCCCCAAAAAATCCCGTGGAATTCCCACCTGTGCTCTGGGCTGTTCCCGGTTTTTCCTGGAATTCCCATTTTTTTCCTGGAATTCCCATTTTTTTTCCTGGAATTCCCATTTTTTCCCCCCCAAATCCCACGGAATTCCCACCTGGGCTCCGGGTTGTTCCCGGTTTTTCCTGGAATTCCCGGTTTTTTCCCAGAATTCTCGTTTTTTTCCCGGAATTCCCGTTTTTTTCCCAGAATTCCCATTTTTCCCCCCAAATCCCGTGGGATTCCCACCTGTGCTCTGGGCTGTTCCCGATTTTTCCCGGAATTCCCGTTTTTTTCCCGGAATTCCCGTTTTTTTCCTGGAATTCCCATTTTTTCCCAGAATTCCCATTTTCCCCCCAAATCCTGCAGAATTCCCACCTGTGCTCCGGGCTGTTCCCGATTTTTCCCGGAATTCCCGTTTTTTCCCCAGAATTCCCGTTTTTTTCCCGGAATTCCCGTTTTTTTCCCGGAATTCCCATTTTTTCCTGGAATTCCCATTTTTCCCCCCAAATCCCACGGAATTCCCACCTGTGCTCTGGGCTGTTCCCATTTTTTCCCGGAATTCCCATTTTTTTCCCGGAATTCCCATTTTTTTCCTGGAATTCCCATTTTTCCCCCGAAATCCCGTGAAATTCCCACCTGGGCTCCGGGCTGTTCCTGGTTTTTCCCAGAATTCCCATTTTTTTCCTGGAATTCCCATTTTTTCCCGGAATTCCCATTTTTTCCCCGGAATTCCCATTTTTTCCCGGAATTCCCGTTTTTTTCCCGGAATTCCCTTTTTTTTTCCTGGAATTCCCATTTTTTTCCCGGAATTCCAATTTCCCCCCAAATCCCGTGGAATTCCCACCTGTGCTCCGGGCTGTTCCCATTTTTTCCCGGAATTCCCATTTTTTCCTGGAATTCCCATTTTTCCCCCGAAATCCTGCGGAATTCCCACCTGTGCTCCGGGCTGTTCCCGGTTTTTTCCCAGAATTCCCATTTTTCCCCCCAAATCCCGCGGAATTCCCACCTGTGCCCCGGGCTGTTCCCGGTTTTTCCCGGAATTCCCGTTTTTTTCCCGGAATTCCCATTTTTCCCCCCAAAAAATCCCATGGAATTCCCACCTGGGCTCCGGGCTGTTCCAATTTTTTCCCAGAATTCCCGTTTTTTTCCCGGAATTCCCATTTTTTCCCGGAATTCCCACTTTTCCCCCAAATCCCGCGGAATTCCCACCTGTGCTCCGGGCTGTTTCCATTTTTTCCCAGAATTCCCATTTTTTCCCAAAAATCCCACAGAATTCCCAGAAATTCCAGCGCTGCCCCACCCCAGGAAGGACCCGGAATATCGGGATCACCCCATGGGAATGGGGTGGGAATTCAGGTGGTGTTTTTCCTGGAATTCCCATTTTTTCCCGGAATTCCCGTTTTTTCCCGGAATTCCCATTTTTCCCCCCAAATCCCACGAAATTCCCACCTGGGCTCCGGGCTGTTCCCATTTTTTCCCGGAAATCCCGTTTTTTTCCCCGGAATTCCCATTTTTTTCCCCCCAAATCCCACGGAATTCCCACCTGTGCTCCGGGCTGATCCCATTTTTTTCCAGAATTCCCATTTTTCCCCCAAAAAATCCTGCAGAATTCCCACCTGTGCTCCGGGCTGCTCCCGGTTTTTCCCGGAATTCCCGTTTTTTTCCCGGAATTCCCGTTTTTTTCCCGGAATTCCCATTTTTTCCCGGAATTCCCATTTTTCCCCCAAAAATCCCGTGGAATTCCCACCTGGGCTCCGGGCTGTTCCCGGTTTTTCCTGGAATTCCCGGTTTTTTCACAGAATTCCCATTTTTT